TATATATATCGAAAAAAAAAAGAATATAATAGATTAACACGTTGAGAAGAGTGAAACGGACAAGTGCGGTCATATATGCAGACACATCAGCATGATGATTCATCGTCAAACAAACAATCGAATTTTATCAAGAAAAGATTTCTGTAATTTCTACAGTCGCTCTTTTTGCTAATAAAAAAACTTCGGGTTTTCGCTATTTTACTTTTCGCTCATTTTTTTTCGCTATTATAATTTTCGCCCTTTTTTTTCCGCTGAAAATACCTTTCGCTATTATAATTTTCGCTCAATCGACACCATATCAGATATCATGTAAAATATTTCTTTTGTCTGAAATGCAATCAACTATTGAACTACGAAAAGCACATAGGCTTTTCTCTAGTTTGATTTAAAAAACAAAGAGCAAATGAAAAAAATGCGTGAAAGGTGTAAATAACGGTTGTGCCATTCGCTCTGTGAACATGTATGATCAACTATATCCAATTTATTTTCGGTATTACAACAGCGCCATGCAAAAAAATGACGTCGATAGATTATCAGGAAGCTTTGACTATTTTGATGAACACGCTCGACTTTATAGTAGTCATTGAATTCGATCTGAGATTACTATTTCATAGACAAGAATGATAGTCCGACAACGTTTACGTTTTTCGTATTAGAAACCTCATGAACTTCGAATATCTTTAAAAAACGAGCTCTTTTGCATTATCTCATGGATCTAGTACACATTGATTTATAAACTTTTTATCTCCATCGTATTTTCACTGTAGCATAATTAGTAAACTATCAAGTAGCCACGCTTATAATAATATTGATAGAATAGAATTGATTCTTGAGTTGATTCAAACAAGCAAATCGACGCCAACTTTTAGAACACTGAAAGGTGAACAATGTTTCGTCAGCAATTTCAAACGGTAAGAATATACAATAGAAAAAGAATCTTGTTAACATCAAATGTGAAGTTCAAAGCTATTGCTAAAAATTTGTTTCAACACTTAAATATAGTCACTTTAGAATCAGTTTTTCGAGGGCGGCTATTTGAAGTCTGATCTTGTTGTAGAGTGTTCAGATCGTTATCTCGCACGATTATGGAGACAGGTAAGGAAGAGAGTCAATATTATTTTTAACTGATATGTTAAATCTAGTTACAATTTATACAAAACAATTCTTTACATATATCTCAAGAGTACGCAATAATTGTTAGAAACTACACAACAAAATATGATCACCATGTATTTTATTAAAAGAATAAAATTCAAGCCGTTTTTCTCTATGCTCATTTAACATTATAAAATAGAAAAAAAGCTGATGACAACAATGCTGATGGCATTGTATTTCTTTTTCATCACTTGTTCTCGTGTTTCGTTTTTTTTTTGACTTTCATTGTTACAAAGAAAACAAATTCAATTAGTAACCATCATTTATTTAATAGTTCTGTTGATTGCCAAGTGAAGCGACAATGAAATTGGAGAACGTGGACGCTACTAAATTAAAAATTGCTGATTTACCAAAATTTAATAAATGTCCTTGTGAACTATGCGATGATGGTTGCTTTGATCGAGCTGGCAATGAACATTATCCGGAATGTCGACGACGAGGACCACAACGAACACAATTACCGCAAGGAGCTCGTTGTCCACTTTCACATTATAAAGGATCGTTTTTAGCTGCAACAACTATTTTCAGTGGAGCTTCTCCTCATCGTCGTCAAGCGATTCCACCTCCAGCTGATAATGAAATACCTATATCATTCAAACATGCATCTATGTCTGGTATTAGCACACAAAGAGAACATTATCAGCCACCACCGAACATGCCAAAAGACAAAGAAAACGTTCCAGCGGCAGCCAAACAAGTATTTTTTCTACAAAAAATTTCATAGACTAGTATCGCTCGTTTTTTTCACGTCAGGTGGATCATTTAGCACTAGCACGTCTAGTACCGATGGAAACTCAAACTCAATATCAAGTTGAATATGTTGAAAAACCAGTTATACCCGTATCACGTCGTCCAGTGCACAATCCAGTGAAAGAATCTCAGTGAACATTCTTTATTTGTTTTCTGTCTTCTCTTTATATATTCATTGTAATCATCTATCTAGATTAAATTTAACTGAACCAAGTGCAGCGATTGCATCTCAAACAACAACTCGAGCTCATTTTAAATCATGGAATACAGCACCTTCACATCCATACAGTGAAGTCCCAGCTAGTGCTGGTTAGAATTTGTTAAAATGATAGTTCCCTTTGTTTTTCTCATATAAAATATTTTGCCATCTTAGGTCATATTCTTTTTCCTGGTAAAGATCGTAACTTTAATACAACAAGTGGAAGTACATTTCTATCGTATCCAAGCGGATCACATGTAAAACCAGCTGTTCATCTTGAACATAGTGGAAATCTCAAAATATCTGGTAAGCTTTTTAAAATGATCTTCAAATTTAATTTCAATAAGAAATAGGTTCAATGGATTTACTGACAAATTATCGACATGATTATGTTACTCCTGAATTATCATCAATAAAACCTAGTCCAACTGAAAATAAAAAAGGAACACAAGAAGAAAAAGTTTATACGCGTCGTCCAATGAATGGAGTTTCTCAGACGACATACGATTTTCGTCCATATTCAAAACAACGTCCAACAGCACCAGCTGATACCGAACCGTTTCTATCTCAAATTAAAATAGGAAATACATATACACCGATAGAAAAGTCATTTTTCCATAGGAAATTTTTTTCGTAAAACAAACAATTCCTTTTTTGTTTTTAGAGATAGTCAATATCGAGCTGATTATCCAGGCCATAATACAAATCAACATCCTCGACAACAAATTGTAGCACCAAAAGATTATCATCAACCCTATATGCCACCAATGCAAAAGATGGACACTATGACAATTACACAAGTAATTGTAATTTAAATAGTTCTCACAAGAATAATATCTATTTGATTCTACAGAGAGATTTTCAACCAATTGAAATCAGTGCTCTACCGCGTATTCGACTTATACCATTAAAATCAAATTTATCCGTAAATGATTCAGCGGGTCCAATGGAAAATATGACGATGTCACGATTTCACTATCAACCATATGAACCAGCAATATCTAAACGAAACTATGGAGAATTAATGCCTAATCTTTATATTCCACCAATGGAAAAATTTCAAGGTACAACAACAACACGTGAAACATATCAAGGAAGATCAGGTAATTGAAAGTTTTACTAAATAAATAAAATAGCATTGATCGATTTAGGTATACCTGCACGTGCTTGTATTCCCGAACAAGAAACAATTCGTCAAGTAGGTGAACATGATCATAATACAAATTATCGAATGGATTATCATCCACATGGTGTTAGTTTATGTGCTGCTAAAGCCTATACGATTGCTCAAAAGAACGAAACAACTGCAACGTCGATACCTACTCAATGAAATGAATTTATTTAACATATAACTTTGAGAATATTAAATAGTGAAACAAAAAAGAACGCGAGTGAAAAAGGTGTTATTTAATTTTCTATATAAAATTGACATTTCCTCTTTTTCCCACCTTCTTTATAATGAGTAACTTTTACTCAATTTCATTAAATTGTATCGAGTGTCGATGTTGAAGAAAACTGTACTGGCACTGTGGCTGATTTTAAATTATTTGAAATTTCGATCCGCCCATCGGTGAATATGGGCATTATTGAGTCACATATTTACTTCAACTGACGATATTCTGTAAATAGATCTTGCGGAAGTTCTTCCTGGAAATATTTCCGTGCCGTCTATATAAAAAACAGTAACGTTGTACGATCAATTCAGTATATTGTGCGTTCTTCATTTCTCTGGCAGTAAATATGAAAATACACAAAAAATATTTAGCTGCACTCTGTTGTTGCCATGATATATTATGGAAAAAACATTATGATCCTATTCCAATAACATTCTTGATCTTCTTTTTATTAAAAATTATGATGAAAACAGACATATTCTCAACATCAGAACAAAACACAGATACATTCTAATAATCCTAGACACTTATTTTTTGTTCCATTGCAAATATAAGAAATGATTATCGATCTAATTATTGTTTGGTAATGATACGTAGAGTTGGAGAGTTGGTAAACCAACGAAGATAGTAAATAAAAATCTTGATAATAAATGTATCCATGTTCCGAGACCAAATGCATGGACCAAAACTCTATTGTACAAGAAAAAACAAACAATAAGACATATTTTTTGCTAAAAGAATTAAAATCTTACTCTAAAATTAATGGTCGATAACAACATAAAATAAGTAAAACATTGATTAATGGAATATAAGATTTGTTTAAATCATTACGAGTACGAAGCCAAATAAGCATAGCAACGGATAAATGATGAACCTAGAACAAAGCAAAAAAAAAAGAATTTCTTATCTTTCTGTTTTGCTATTTATCTTACTAAAGCAACATTTGAATCAAGACTCATTTGAATATATTTCCAATCGAATTCAATACCACGCGCTCCTACCCATAATGGTAAAAATCTAGGAAATACAAGAATGATTACTTTCTTTTTTTTTTTGTTTTTTATAAAATCAATATTCAAAACAAACTTTGTAACAACAAGTTCAGCTGAAGCCCAGCCAAGAGCAGCAACTAAATATTTGAGATCGGTTTTACCGCAAATACGTGTTATTACAAAATGTAAGCCAACCAGATCTAATATATCAACCGTATTTTTTAAGAATTCCTATAATTGATTTTATTTCAAATTTCAAATTCAAAATGAAAAGAACAATCTTACAGTTTTAACAACGAATGCTGATGATTCATCGACCGGTGGAAAACATGTAGCTATAGTAAGCATTTTAATAAATTGAACAAATAAATAAAATGCAGCCGATTGAACACATTTCCAAAATGCGTTGTATTCAGCTCTTGAAAAGAAAACAAGTAAAAGAAAAGATTTCATGATTGAATCTTTTAAGCTAAATCAATTTCAATAGCCCTAGGCAATCCCTCCTGTTTCCGGAATACTTACAAGCCAGAATATTTATAAGTTAATAAAACGGGACCACAGGCTAAAGCCAGACAATTTCCAAAATGAAATAAAGGCATCTGAAATAGATAATGAAAGCGCGTCTAATAAAAATAATAATTGTTTTGTTCAAGTAAAATTTTGTTCATTGTTTTATTTTTTACTTGTTTTTAAATTGACCATATTCTGTCACATGATCGATCTAATTGTTGCGTATCTCACTCTTATTGTTATCATATTGTTATTCATCATTGTTTTTTTAACTCTTTATATTATTCATGAACATCGAAGGAAAAACATAACTCAATTAAATCAAGATCAATATGTTGTACCATTACGCACTTTAAAAACGAATGAACGATCTAATGGTAATAACTCAAATTCTGTAATTCTCTCAGCTACACCCAAACGAACTCGACATCGAGTAAAATTAAATTTCTTTCTCAAAAAAAGATTCAATGTGTTTACTTCCTAGCCTCCAACACTATTTATTCGTACACAAAACTCTCAAGGTTTTCTTCTATCCAACGGTGATCTATCATCTCTGTCAATTCATAATAAGAAATTAACTCAACATCATACGAAATCTACGCTCGATCAGACAACTATTCATTTCGATAGTTAGAAAAACAAATAGAAGATCTCATTGTTTTATTTTTATTCTACAAAAAAAACAAAATCTTCAGGGACGATAAACTATTTAAAAAAAAAGGAGGGGTGTAGAAAAAAAGAAGAAGGAAAACGTTATTTATTTTTTCTTCTAATTTTTAACGTAGTGGTCTCCATGATTGAAAGATTTCTTTATATGTTCGTCGTTTTTCAAATACTTCAGGAAAATCTTGAGGATGTCGCCGAACATAATCCCAAATATTCAGTTCTTTTTCTAGCATACGTTGTTCACGAAATTTTCCCCACCATGAACCAAACAAGAATCCACCAACGATCGTTGCCGCATAAACAGGTCTTGCTGAAAAAAAAGGTCGACGTAAATACATATTACGCATTAATACCACTGCTGAAAAACCGATTGGAAAAAGAACACGAGCATCATATGGAGCCATAAAATATGGCAAACCCCAAACACGATAACGTGGATTATTAGCGTGGTCACGATCAATATCACCTGCACTTGGTTTTAAACCCATGTCAAAAAGAATAACCTAAAAAATAGAGCATAATGTACCATTGAAATGCATCGATATTTTTTGTTCTTTCTGATTACAAGAATTGAGCACTATGAATCGAAACTCTAACTTTCCATTCAAGCCACTATGATCCATGGTTGTTGATCTCTGGTTATCTATTATTAAAATTAGGAAAATTTCGCTAAAACAAAAAATCTTCTCCTCTATCGAAAGAAAAGAAAATTCGAATTTACTTTTTTCCTTGTATATTCAAAAATAGTGATCTGTTCAATAAAAAGCCATCCTATTTCTAAGCTGTATTTTAATTAATTACAAAACCTGTACAAAGAGATCACAGAGTGACACGAATGAATTATAAAGGAATTCAGTTGTGTCATGAACTCAGAAACTGCTCCTATGATTATGCTCAACAAAATTTTGTCCAATAAACATAATTTGTTTTTATTCAACACATTTTTTTAAACTCTTGCTTCACCTGAAATTTGATAATAGATAATTGAAATCCTACCTTTTTTGTTTGTGGTGAGAAAAGTGCTAAATGATCTTCTCTTATTTGTAATTTTCCATCTTTGGTCTCTTTCTTTTCAATTTCATCAAAATATCGATTGTATTCAGGATTCAATGATTTATTTGGTAGTAATTTATCTCGTTGTTCTTTTATTAATGGATGTGTATCTAACTCATCACCTGTTTCTCCACCTAAGATCGGATATGTACGCCATGGTTGTTGTCGAGCAAACGAACGATTGGTAAATTCAAATGGTGACGTCTTATCATACTCTTGATCAAATGAACGACGACTAAGGCCAACATGATGTTCATCATGTTTATCACCCCATGGACCAATGCCGGTCGACATATTCTATATCAAAATTCTATCTAGAATATAAACAAATAGACAAAGAGAAACTATCACATATAATCATCAAGTATAATCGAAGAAGATGACGAAGATGGTTCATCTTCTCTTGATGTTGATTCAGTTACAATATTAATTTTATATTGAATAAGACGAGACTCAAACGATGGATTTAATCTTTGACATTCATAAATTAATTCATTAATTAAAGTTAATTTATATTCATTTGATGAATTAAATGTATCCAATAGAGTTAAAACTTCTACAAATACTGAAAATGAATTTTAATTAAATTTTATCAAAATATTTTACCTTGATCAGCTTGACGACGAAATAATAATTTTACTTTCTTTTTAATTTCACGATATTTTTTTATTAAACGACGACGATCATCATCTAATACAGTACCAATATCAAATGAAAAATGATTCATTGAATTATTATTTATTATTGATTCATTATCTGACTCTAAAAACGTAATTATTAGTATGGAGAGAAAAGTCGATTTCAAACAGGGTTGGCAGATCGAAAATTTAAAAATCAGAAAAAAGTCAGAAAGTGTATTTTTTCGTACTAAAATAGCTGATTTGTTTTTCCAATAACACAGTATCATTTATTCTGTTTCTTCCTTTTCAATATCACTTTCATTTTTGGCATCCGTCAACTCATTCATACTTTAATTCTATTATGTCAGCACTGGAACATGAAAACTGCAAGACAGGAATACATTCTCAATTAGCAACGCAGTAGCACAGGAAAAAATTCAAAGTGTCGAGGAAAATTTCAAAAATCGAAAATTTTCCGATGATATCGGACGATCTGGCAACCCTGATTTCAAAGAAAGTCTATCGAACCATCATCGGTGCTTGTAGTAGATATTGCAGGACTCGGAGGACCACTATTACCACCACCACTACCAATGGATAGATGTCGACGATAAACATAATTCTTCAAAACTAAAGCTATACGAGAAATACAATGAAAATCAAAAGAAAAAATTCAATCAGAAATACATACGTGTACGTTTCTTCTTCATTCCACCTATTCCAGATGTTAACGTTGATTCTAATTGAGATCGTTTTCTAGATGTTGCTTGCTGCGGTTGTGAGACAGCACTTGATCCGACTAATTCATCAATTTCATCGATTGGCTTTAAGAGAGAAAAAAATCATCAATATGAAAACTCCCCGGATTTTAACATATGTCTCTAGATATTACCGGACGTAATAGAGAACATGCGTAGTAATTCCATTGAACTCAAACTTATGGTACGAATAGAATCATTTTTCTGTCCTTCACTAGCGGGCATCATTCGTTTTATACGTACTTTATTAACTTTGAATGGATTTCCAAAGACATGTTGTCGAACTGGTTGAGCATCGATTTCTCTTAACGGAGCTATTTGTGAAGTGGCCCGAGGATATTCATCATAATTCGACATTTCTTTAATAGGTACAGAATGTAAAGCGTCTTCATCTTGTATTTCATAGTTATTTGAATTTTGTAATAAATGTCGACGTAGTTTTATTACAACGTCTAGTAATTGTGGTCGTGGAATATCGAATACATTTCTTAATAAGAAGAAAATAAAAATTTCTGGTATTATTACATATATATTTTTTGTTTTGTTGCTTACAAATATAATTGTAAAGGTTGTTGTTGTTTTGAATTTGATTTGGATTGTAAAACGAAATTATTATGAATTGAGTCATCGCCTGGTTCATGTAAATCTACACTTGATGATGATGTTTTATCGAATAGAAGATCGGGACGTCTTCAATTAAATAGGAATAATAAATTCGATCAGTATACAGAAAAAATAAATACGAACAATGGAAGAAGATGAATCAGTGGCGGTGGTTTCTCTTGCATAGGTGGCCATCGATCAAGTTCAGATTTAGCTTGTGATCGAATTTTTTTCAAATAGCCAAGCATTTGTGGTGAAAGAAGAATCGTTGGTTGTGCTGGATTTTGTTTATCAAATGATTCAAATACAAATTGGAGTTGTTTTCGTGTGAGTACTCGTCGCAATGGCTAAAAATAAAGAAATTGATTTAATGTTTCGAATTATTAAATCAATAAAATACAGCTTACAGTGATATAATATGGGGGAATAGCTCGAAGATAAGCATCAAAACGATTCTGCCACGTTCGTGATACAGTTGAACCATGAGATTTATTTAATTCGTCTTTAAAAAGAAAATAATAAATAACATTGGTTGAATAATACAGAGTTTTTATTTCATTCAGTCTTTCTAAACGCTAGCTATATTAGCAGATATGAATAAGTATTTTCAAACAAGTTACAGAAATGTTCTACTCAATTTATTCCAACTGCTCATCATTACGACTGACACATCATCATCATCGAAAAACAAAAACTACTTTATTCTCAATATCGAAAACAAAAAAACGTTTGTAGTACATAATGATACTTACTGAGAAGTGTTGATAACTCCGGATAGTTGTATGGCATAACATATAAATTAACAGATGTTAAATTTGTACTTGCTTTCAGATAGCCGAAAGGTGAACCAAGTTCCGTGGGTCCCAGACGAGAGGAACCTTGAACAAAGACCTAAACTAAAGATATGAAGATTTGTTTACTACACTGACTAACAAAACATACAGGCCAAGCCATTGTTGGTTGTCTTCGTTCAAGAATATACTGTGTTAAAGGCGATGGTTCCAATTCATATTTATCAAATGGAAATTTATCTGTAACAGTTGCACAAGGCACAGTTTGAAATTTAATTAAAGCATGTGCCGATCGCGATGGTAGAGAGAGCATGGCTGCTGTTGGCCAATAATCTTCTGGGATTGGCCAATTATATTCAGTTTTTTCTGTTTTGGGTAAAGAACGTGGAATCATGATCATTTTTCGACATGAATGCCATGAACATCGTTCATTGTCTCCTATTTGTAGAAGAGAAATATGAATTTCGTTTCTTTTCGTTATTTGCTTACCTTCACTAATAACTTTTTCTAAATTTACAACAACACCAATTTGAATTTTTTGTACGAGTGACTCTAAACATTGAAGAAGTGCTCGTTGAGATGTAATTAAATATGAACGACCTATAATTTTTTTGGAGAAAAAAAACAGAGGCAAATGTTTGTATATAAAAAGCTCTAAATGATTTTACCACCGGTTACATCGCACATTGCAGTAATAGGTTGATCAATAGCGGCTGGAATGAATTGATTAGCCTGTATATCAGTTAGGCCAGTAACAGCTGCATTATTAGGATTGCCTAATGAAACTAGAGACGAAGCAGTAGCAGACAATGCAAGTACAATAGCAAATAAACGTTGATCCCATCGAAATGGTTCTTTAGTTAATTCACTACCTAACGGGCCTGTATTCATTGGAATATTAATCTAAAAAGCGAGAAATAAAATAGATTTTGTAATGCATACAATATCTATATATTATACTTCATTTTGAACACCAGCTAATGTAGTTAGTTTTTGTTTATCTGTAATAACAATGATAATAGATGGTTCCAATAAATGTGGAAATCGCCCACATCCATATGTATCATGATCGGCTGCATGTCGATTAAGATTAAGTAAATCAAATCCTTGTTTTATTGCTGAACCCATTTGTGTTAATCCAGTTGCTTCAAGACTTTTCAATTGATTTGTAAATACAGTCATTGGTTCTTTCCAACCGACTTTAACATTTAATGGTGGTTCATCGAGGGTTAATAACATATATCGATCTGTTCGAGCTGCGGCAGCATCTCGCTGTCTTATCTATATAGATCGACAAAGTATAAGAGTAAATCAAAGCGAGAAAATATGTATAACCTTTAAAAATTGTTCAATAGCTCCTTTACCGATATCAAAAAGAGTTGTGCCAAGATGAGTCATTTGATTCATTGATGCTGAATTATCGAGGAGAAATATTACTACAGGCATTTCTAATTAATTTAATTGAGACTAAGATTCGACTGATAAATAACACGACCTGATGGATTTATTGTTGTTTACTAAGCGTGTTAGTTCCATCGATGAAAAACCAGTCAGAGCTGTCCGTGTGATAGGGGGCGCTGCTTGTCGACGAGTAACTTCTCTCAACATATTGAAATTAATGAAATCGGCTGTATTGCGATAATATCAAAAAGAAATTTTGTTGCTGAAATGAATTGATATTCTTGTCCAGAATTGAATGGAACACATTTTTTGGGCGAAAGTTTTTCTTCGAAGAATTTTTAACAGTATATCATTGATTTCAAACTTACTACTATTTGTTATAGCAACGATGAATATATATGATTAACGAGAAAATAGTTGACATTAAATATTTATTTTACTATCGATTTTTCGATTTCATCTTTTTAATGAAAGCAGATCCGTGAAATTTATTCAATCGAGTATTGACATCAAACTGATGAGAACAGCAAATTTTAAAAAAAATTATAAGGACTACAACTAGGAAAACATGAAAATAGCATTCTAAATTGATCGTCATGTATTTCTTCTTATAAGAAATCTCTCCAAATGTGTTTATTACTTTTCATCTGACATTTCTTTTTACGAAAATGTATGTGATTCCATCAGCTATCTATAAATTGAGATTTTTTGAAAAAGTGAACTAGAATCAAATATACAGTAAATTGATATGCTGCTACTTTAGTTCTAACAGTCATGGTGTATACGAAATCAGATGTATGAAACTCGATAAGCCGCATATCATTATGATTAATAATGCGTCACTTTTTTTATCAAAATAATTTCCCACCAGACTATATGCGGGATTTCTTTTCAAATAGAACATCTATATGTATATATATATTTTTTATTATTATTATTAATCATTATATTAGCTATAGTATTCTTCTTTCTTTTTTTTAAGTCTAATCCAATCAAAAGAGCATTAAGTATGAAACCTAATTTATTTTTCTTCGTTTGTAAATCCATTGCTTTCTCAATAGATTAATTTTCCATGATAATTAATATATTAAATAATAAACATTCATAAATAACAAGGAAAAAAATACTTGAGCTGAATAATATGTATATCTATAAAACAATCAAAAAAGAACAAAATAGAAATCACTGCATATGTGCGAAAATAACATTTATCTATCGGGTGACTGAGAAAACAGTTTTGGACAATGGTCAAATTTTCTTTGCTCATATTTTCCTGTATAAATATATTCATCATTATCATCTTTTTTGAACCATAATGGTTCGAATTCACGTTCACTTTTTTTTGCATCTGCACGTTGCTGTTCTTCGAGGCGATGTTTTTCTTGTGAAGCTGCATCGATATCGCCTTTTTCAAGATAATAAATATCTTTTCGAAATCGACTGTCAGTTGGTGGCAATTTTAAAGAATCTGTTTGTTCATTAAGAGAAGTAGCAAAGGGTGTAAAAAAATAATATTGATACATTGATACTAATTCATTATCAGTCATCAGCGAAAGAGATCGATTCCAAATAAGACGAGATGATGGTAGAATTAAGTGATCACATGGTGTTGATACTAATGCAGTTGAATTCAAATGAACACAATTATGACCATTAGCCGAACAGCTAATAGAAGGTTTTAATTGAAATTCATCGATATTATCAATAGCATAATAGCAATGACCATAGTTTCCATGATATGCACCGAGTTTTTCTTTACCTGGATCGAAATAGAAAATAAAATTGATGAATATTTTATCTTTTCTTTTTGACAATGATAAAACAAAACAACTATAATCTCTAGAAGTCGAAGGATTACTTTAAGATATGATCTCAGAGCCTATTAAGAAGGCGTAAAAAAACCAACAAACATACAGCCTATGGTGGATATAGACTACTGCGATTTGTATGCAAATCTCATTGTAATTTTATTTTTACTAGATTGATATTTACCATTAGGGGTGGGTCATTAACATTAGCTATTAATATTAATGTTTAATGTTTTCTGAAAAAACTTAATTCATTAATATTAATGATTAATGAAAACATTAATTTTAAAATTAATGTTAATACTTTTCATTAATTATTAATATTAATGTCATTGTTCTTCAATGATATTAACGGTTAACGGAAACATTCACCATTAGTATTAATAGTAATGTTTTTGTTAACATTAGTGATTATATTTTCATTAATAATTAATATTAATGAAAACATTAATTTTAAAATTGATGTTAATGTTTTTCATTAATCATTAATGAATTAAGTTTTTCTCAGAAAACATTAACCATTAATATTAATGGCTAATGGAAGTCATTAATTAATGGCATTAATTAAGTTCCGTTAAAAAAAATGGTCCATCCCTATTTACCATCATAGATGAAGCCCGTATATTTAAACAGTTCAGCTGTTTTCGTTGATTGTGATGCAAACCATGAGTGTGGTTTAATAGTAACGAGCGAACGCTGTTTGGATTGTAGATGTTTTATATCGACTTGTCCTTGAAATTCACACCAAAGACGACCAAATAGAACATTATGAACAATAACAGTTGGTGTTTTCCATGTATATTCGTCTTTGATTTCATTATCACTTTGTTCTTCTTCATCATTACAAGATTGAAAACTTTCTTGTGAAGATGATCGAGATAGAGAAGAATTTTTCTTTATACGAAATACCCATCGACCTAGAAAATAAAAACATTTTCGAAGAGTCTAATTTTTGTCCGAATAAAAAAAAATCTAAGTTATTTGTTTTTCAAATTATACCTTCTGATACGGCTACGACATTGGTTCCGTGAAATTTAATTTTTGGTTCAATATTTGCTGATAGAGTCCAATTTTGACCATTGACATGAACAGCCGTTACAGGTGGATGATGACAAACTTGTTCAGCAACATAATGAAATTGTGCATTACCTTTCATATTTAATTCATAGGTTTCACCTAATAATGGATTAAATGGTTTTGACATTCGTTCAAGATGAGCCGACAGTGTTGAAATAACAAAAGCTGTTATTAAATGAAATCTTTCAACGATTGTGTCCGCTACTACTGCCTGATCTAGTAGCATTGAATATTCTAAACATTCAGCAACACGTTGAAGAAAACTAAGAGGTTCTAAGATGAAAAGAAATCAATGAAATGAAATTAATCTTGAGCACAAATTTTTACCATTCCAAATAACAGGTATAGAAAATCTTGTAAGATCTTTTCCAATGGCTTGTTTAATCACAGAAAATATTGAATAAGACGATCGATCCAACATGGGTGCTGGTAATGTTCGACGTGTTGTTTCTAAATTCACAGTCATTTCTTCTATCTAAAATTAATTATCACACTATGCATTTTATCGTATTGACAAAAATCGAAAATAAAAAAAAAAGAATTGAGATGAAAACGTGCGGATGAGAAAAACAAACTGAATATTTATACAAATAAATTAATTTACTACTCTTGGTAAACACATTTTTCCAGCGACTATTACTGAAATAACAGTTAACCAAGCTCCACAGATAAATGCAATGTAACTTGAACCTATTCGATAATCAGTTGGTAATTGAAATGGTGAACCACCAATGATTTCCGAATCAAATCCCATTGGAAATAGAACAGCTGAGAGACATAGAAAGATCACTAAACAAAACAAAAATAGAACAATGAGGCTGTTATGTTTTAGTCAAACTAAAATTCGATAATTACTAGCAATAAATCCAGCTAGTCGACCATATACTATCGTTGATGTTTGCCCGTATTGTGAAATAACAAATAAAATAATAGTTACAATAAGTAGACCAATAGCAACTATAGAAAGACCAAATGCTATTATCCATACTAAACGAACTTTATTTGGTATAAAACATTTTTGTTCGTGAGCAGTTAATGATGATAAAATACACATCTCAATTAAACCCATTGAAGTTTCACCTAAAATTATATTTGTAACGGTTGTAGGCAATGATTTTGATGTACTCTTTGAACTAGTTTCGAGTAAATTTATTTATGTTCGAAGGTCAGGATCATGTCAACATTGGCGTCATTTAATTAAACTACGCTATCATAGTTGAATTTCTTCATATTCGATTGAAAATAGCGTCATCCAAGAAGATTCTCCTCCAAAATTCATATGGCTGAGAATGAAAATGATAGATATGATAGATTTACTAGTAGGATACTTTTTATATTAAACTCTGTTTATCTAAATTTGATTTTCTTGGAGACTATGCCATGCTTATTGTCGCCAGTGAAATAAAGCTGTCTTAATCTATGTTATCAATATTTCAACATATTGACTCAAGAATTTAGTATATTGAATGCACCTGATTCTTTCGATGTTTCACCTTTCCGATAGGTTAAGATATTACAAAGTCCAATAAATCTCGTCCTTATTTTGACAAAACTAGGCAAAAACAATAATAAATACTCACTAGATTACTCCTATCGTGCTTTATTTCGACATGGCACTATGAATTGTAAGAAATGTCAATATAACACTTATTTTACCGAGGTATTTGCCAATATATAACCTACTGTTTGCTTGTGTAGGAGGTATTTTATCAGCAAATTAATAGGTGCCTACTTGTTCTGCATAGTTGTTTCTTCATAGAACATGCAGAGACGCACACAAAAATCAAAAAATTCGAAAAATGAATGAAAACATTTTCTACGGCAGTGATATAACTATTCGATGATCACAATAATATTTATCTCAACCTTCGTTTCTATACACTCAATATGTTTTCTCGATGAATGTTTGCTTTTCTCGGATTCCTTCAGTTGGTCTGTTTGTTAATTTATCTTATTCCATATCATAGACAATGTCCTTGTCGATTCTCATCGAAGCTCCTCTTCTTGTCAATGAATCATATGAAATATAGAAAGTACGAACTGAAAGATTATATATTCTATTTTATTTTAATCATATTATCTCAAGTTATTACAAAAGGTGAACGAAGTGCAATCTAACTTCATATTTCATATATATTTAAAGGAAATAATATTCGAGAAACAAATCTAGCAAATTATCTATGATCTACCTTTATTGACAGATAAAATCCATTGTGGTCTCGAGATGCTAATAAGAACAAGCAGAGCAGCTGTAGCAAATAATGCCGTTGAAAGTAACACAAGTCTATCCAATGTGACCATTATTTATTTATTAAAATATCTTTCTTCAGAACAGAATAGAATATGATATTCTTTTTAACTAACTACACGATATGGTGCGATAATAAGAACATTATTTCATTGGTTATCTATTCTTATTTCTTATCCTATTGAAAAGAAATGTACTAACCTCTATCTATTCTTTTTTGTTTGATAAAATAGCATTTGCTTGTGAATCATTCAAAATTACGTGGTCTAATGCGACTGTAAATAAACTAAAAATAATAATCAATATGAAATAGCTAGATACAAACAATGACTAGCAAAGGTCTTGTTGGCTTCGTTTTACATGAATAAGTCAATATAATTTTTATTTCATTAAATCCGATAACTTCATTTTTTCTTGAAAAATAAACGTATTATTATAGAAGAATGGAAGTTATATTATCATGGTTTATACTTTTATTTTGGGCGTATAATCAAGATTTTCTCTGTGTGCTTTCTTTCCATAAGTTTAATTTAAAAAAAGCATGCCAGAGTTTAACATATAAAAGAGATGTATTTTTGAAGTAGACTTTATTGCTATTATAGACAAAAACAAAAGCTTTTTTTTAATAAGCAAAGTGTTAATTTTTGAGGCATTCAACTTTTATCGGTAGCATAAGCAATAATTGAAAGAAAAAGTGTACTTGGTACTTTACACTCTAATAAACTCTTTTAAAAACAAAGATGGAGCACGTATCGTATACTGGAAGTCCAGAAGTATTCGTTGTCTTAGCTCATTGGATATCTTTCGAAAACTTAGCCGATTCATACCCTGAGATCTACAGCCATCTTGAATTATTTAGTTTGATAATGTTATTTGATTATTAACATGATTTGATTGAATCGATTTTTTGCTGTTCCTCTTTAAATATCGATAGTCTATTATAAACGAAATTCAACGTATATTTATAAACATATTGCATCTTTATGTTTAAAATTACTTCAAACCACGTGAGAATGTGAAAAAACATTCTTTATTTTTAATCAACAATGGAAAAAATATAAAGAAGACAATGGGTTTTTACTTTTATAGTAAGTTCATTTATGGAAAAGCCCCGGTAAAAGTGTCCAGTGAAAGATCATCACTATTTTATTTTCTCTTATTTTTGAATTATTTCATCAAATTTCAGCTACGATAATCTCGTTGATGCTCGTTCAATAACAAAAATACCAGCAGCTACTCGATCTTAAAGTACAATACGATAATTTCTTAACTAAAATGGCACGAAAAATAAGACGTTTAGCATTACATATTATTTTGTATCTTTGTTCGAAATAAAAAAAATGTTTTCAAACATGGCTATCGTATGCAAACACAATGTCAATATGTGCCTAAAAAATAAAGTTGATGAAAAAGTTTTATTTAGACGCTGAAATATTTATAAATCTTCTTGTGGGATCAAGATTTTAACAAGATGTTAATCATATTTTATCTATGGTTTTTCATGATCTTAGCTACTTTTGGATCAATGAATCGCAGTGGTATGAGTGATCATCGCATTGAAACAAAGAAAATGTCCCTATCAGATTGTTTCAGTAGTTATTTGTTTACACATTCTATCTTGACATTTTAAGCCATTGTTAAGACTCGCACAGACAAAGAAAGGATAATAATAAAATTGAATTAGTATATATTTTTGTTTCGCTATTGACGTAAACTTTGCTCTTGATATTTCTAGTTTTGCTGTAGTTACATTATCAAGAATAATAATAAGTATAATATGAATGAAAAAATATATTCTAAGATCAAACTCATCGAACGATCCACAGATCAGCAGTAGACATTTACTTGTCGCATTGATATATGATTTCGACACCAACATAGCAAGAACTAAGTTCGTCCTCAGCTATCAAATTGATTCTTACCATCACTATTGTATTGAGATAAGAATATAATGGAAGATATATCTTATTCTAAGCATCGATTATGATTCAAGTTGGAACTATTGAGAGCACAATAAAACCGAAGTTCCAACCTGCCATTCGACAGGTTTCATAGGTTTCTATGTAAAAATCCGGTCATAACTGATATAATATCTTTCATTGTTGGCAAGATCTATACGAAAAAACCCTATTGAATTGCTTCGGTCCTTTCCAGATTTTGTAAGACATATTTCATGAGATACAATAAGTATTTTCATTAGTTAGGCGTACTGCCAATAATAGTTTTTTTCAATATAAATCATGGATCATAATGTGAATAATAATGAATTCAATCATCCTATTGTGAAAACCGTGGAAGATGAAAATAACATAAATGAATGTGACTTTGCTTTTCTTTCTAAATTAAAGAACATATTGTTTGACAAGATAGCTGAATAATCATTTAATGATTCTGATTCTCTGTATTTTTTCGCAGCATTTTGATTCAATTTCTTCTTGGTCAGATCATATACTGGTGGTAAGCTATGAAGACTCGAACATATTGAGTATGGCTTTCATAATTTATCGAATCCCGCCACTGTTAAGTTATTCTGTCACAGTATCGAAATTCCAATGACAAAAATAAGAAAAAAAGAAAAAAAGGAGCTAACAAATGCTCTGTTGCTTGTTCTTGTGCTTACCTGAAAGAATTAAAGAACAGTGAAAGAGACAAACTATTAAACACAAGGAAACATAAGTCGTAAGGAATAACAATACGATTGATACCGTTGCTGACAATTGCGTTTTCAGTTATAGCCAGACGGAGATATGTTGGCGCGTCTGAATGAAAAAATGGTGCATGTTTCTAGTTGTCAAAAAATAAATAAAGAAAAGAATTGATTATTTAAGTAGATTCTAATTGATGATTAGTAATTATCAAGCATCAAATGCTAGTTGGTGGTATACACGTGAATGATAAACATGCAACATACAGTGAGTCGAGCATTAAATTGGCACATCATCATTCGAATGGACTTTTTTCTATGTGATATGTACAGGCAAATCGAAGTATTACACGAGGAACAATTCAGTCAATGTGACGCGAAGGACTTTACCGTTTATAGTAGAGGACAAGGCTTATTCGTAACTGACTTCAACAAACTCGCAAAAAGTAAGGATGAACTTATATCATTTAACAATATGACCTTATTTGCTGTCGTCTACGAGACAAGTTGTTTCGATATCAAAGCAGAAATTCTCTTCTCAATGCATATCACTTCCTAAATTGTATCATTAATTTGGAATGTTGAAATACAACCAAAGACAATACAAAGAAGTGGTTTCCTTTTGTGAAGAATTTCTCAAAATCCAACAAAAGACTTTACCTGAAGATCATCGTTCACTAGGCACAAATTACAGCAATATTGTTATCGTTGATCGAAACTTGGACAACTATTCGAAATCATTTGACGGTTACAAAAAAACCTACAAGAAATTTTTGCAAACTCTTTGCCATCGAATCATCCAAATTTGGGTAAAGTCTATGTAAGCATTGGTGATTACTCTAGATCACTAGTATGTATAGAAAACGCATTTTCTATACTAAAAACAGTCATTACTACCAATACACCCTAGTATTAAACTAACAATAGATGCTACTAACTGTGTCTACATGTCACACATGATTATTCCATCAGTAACAAAAAAATAATTTTTGCTGCTTTTTTCTAAAAATAATTCTACATGCAAATAACTGAAGAAAAAGCAAGTTGGTTTCAAATAGAAATGGAATTCTGTCGGAATGAATCCTATGGTAATCTTTAAAACAGAAGAATGAATATAATAAATTTTTGTCTTGCTATTCCATCTGAGTGATTAAATAGTTAGCTAGATAATTGATATTTTAGTTAGCCAAAAAGATTCTTTTATAATCTAATTGTTTATTACAAAATAATATTTAGCTTCAATTTGTAACTAACATACAATAAATTTCATCAAGTGTTATGAAAGTCGTTACAAACAATCATATTCATCTCATTGAAACAGCTTGCATTATTGAAGTGAGGACAATATATATAAATTGAAAGCAAATGTTATTTATTCAGTAAAATTTGACTGCAACCTCAACTCCATTTGAAAACCATACCCTAATGCCAGTAGAGAAATGCTTTTTTCTCTAGATACACCTCTACCGAAAAACTGATGTAGAAGAAGATGGCGAATTTATTTAAAAAAAGCATTGTTGAGTGTTTTTTTTCAACTATAGTCAACGTATAAGCTGCTCTCGAATTCCATTAACTGTAGCAAAAAATATATTTCATAAACTTACACACAACTTTTCTCAAACTGCAAAGTTCGTCAGCAATCTAAAACAATATTCATAATGGAAATGAGCACTCTGAAAAGTTATAAAAATCTTTTTTGTAATTTTTATTTTCCCGTTTCTATACAGCGAAACTTGTAAGCTCATTTAGCTTAATACATAACAACTGAAATCAGATTCAATCGATATCTAATAAGTATTAATGAGAATTTCTTGCGATAAATTTCCTTAAATGAATTGTGACGGTTTTTCTATTTGCGGAATATTTGCATTTGATCAAATTCAAAATTTTAATCTTAGAAAGTCAAGAAAAAAAATCTTATATTTTAATTCTTAGATCGAAAACGTTTCTATTCGCAGAATATATCCATACACAACGAGTTGAATTCTTGCCAAATGTAATCACCGTCAAATAAATGAAATAAGATATCCCAAATATGTGTATTCATATTAAATTTCAAGATAACTAATCTTTTCCCTTAGAATAAAAATATTTGAATAATATTATTGACTGATTTACCAGTCATTCGACTTTCTTATTAGTGCTGGAAATTTAGTTCATGTCCTTCGATATTTACTAATAATGAAAAAAAAAAGCATAATATTCAGAATAAAATGAAATGCCTGTTGCATATAAAAAACCACTTGAATCATGATTTCAAGTTTTTTTTTGCCATAAATGAAATACTATCTGAAACCATTTAACTGAATAGATATACTTAAATCGATGTAAATATAAGTAATGACTTATACTAGAGTCAATCTCGTTTTCTTTTAATTTGCCTCTCTTGGAAAAAACTTAAGATACATTAATTTTCGCGTTGATACAAAACTTTTTTCATACATCTCTACAACATCAAATGTATGCTAAATCTTGAACTACTTATTATTCATCAATCGATTAGTAAAAAGTTGTTTTTTACTCATTCCTGAGTATATTGCTAATTATTCATATCTTAAAATTTTTATCAATACTTTGTTCAGATTAAAATACAAATTATTTTATCACCAATTCGTCTTTCAAAATTAAAAAAAAAAGAACACGAGATCTATCGAATCTAAAATCTATTCTTCTCTCCTTTTACTTATTTTTAAATACAAAGAAAACGCAAGCTAAAAATTAAAACGCACAGAATGGATGGTTGAATTGTCTTTCCTGAATTATAGTACCATTCCGGGAGACGATTACCGTGATTCCAATTAAAGTTATTATTCCAGACATAATTTGGATTGGGATAACGATTATTATAATTATTTACCCAACCTTGGCCACCCGGTCCATAAAGTCCAAATTGATTACCATATAGTGGTATGTAGCCGTATTGATCATTATGTCGACGATGACGACGATTCGATTCGTTTACTTTAAAATTTATGCGCACATATATTTAGAATAAGATCATCCATCAGTGTTAAAAATAATCTTACTTGAGATAAGAAGGCAAACAACGAGAAGAAATAAAACTTTTTTCATGGTTATGATTATAACACTACAAATGAAATAAAGAAATATTTCTCTTCTGTCTGTCGCTACTACTACAAGTGTCAACAATGCTACTGTGCAGACGTTTGTTCTGCCTAGCCTTGGTTGTGTATATAGATGTGTACGAAAAAAAAGGTCATACAGCGGTAGTTCTCTTTCTTTTTTTTGGGGTGTTTGCATACGATGATTTAATCATTCGTATCGATCTCTTTCTTACTCATCATGTTCTAGAGCTTCATTGGCGAACTAATAGCGGCATAGCGAAAAAAAAGAATTTATGTGTTCAAGTAAAACTAATCACATGAAATTTCTCTGCTTGTGAACAACGTGCCTGTTTAGCTCAGTGGTAGAGCGTCGCTCTCGTAAAGCGAAGGTCACAGGTTCAATCCCTGTAGTAGGCATCAATTCTTTTTTTCTTTCCTGCTCTGCAGCTACATTGACTCGTTTCTTCTATGCGATAAGGACTGAATTTTTTGCGAGAAAATGTCAGAGAAAGAAAATGCCTCTACAGAAAAATAAAAACTTGCAATAATCTTAATTGTATTTTCGTGACAAGAAAAATCTTTTATTGAAAAGAATTAAATATTATTTTGTTCGTTATATTCGACTTTGACAATATTAAATAGAAATATTTGTGAGGAAAAAAAATTTTAATTGTTGTTGTCAAAAATGAATAAGAAGATCTTGCAATAATTCATTTTGTAACTTTAACTTGTTCCTATTTTAGTGATACTAAACAATTCATACAAGTTTTAAATTGAAATAAAAATTTTTTTCTTTTAACCTTGACTTCAAATGATATTTTCATTAGTTTTTTCATAGGAAAAAGATTGATAACATCAACAGTCGAACTTATTTGTTCAGGCAAAATAATTTCGTTGTTATGTTAATGATGAGACATTGAAAGCAATAAATCATAAAAAAGCGTGCTAATGAGTTTTGGAAAAAGACGAAGAGAAGTCAGTTTAAATTTATTTCGAGTGTAGAGTTGAACGCAGAATAACAACAATTCTACAATTCACTTTCTATTGTTGATTATGTATCAATGATATTTGTTTAGGTTTAATCTAGTTTTGTATTTGTAAACTGATCGTAAACACAGTTAAATATATGTTCAATTAAATGGTAAATATTAGAATAAATTCATCCATCTAATCAGCGAAATAAACTATCAGTTAATGAATCAAAAATCTAGACATTAGAAAAAGCAAAATTTGATGAAATAAATAAAGAAAACGAATTTCAAATTTCGATAGTAGAAGACAGGTGTCATCTGGAAAACGCAATCGGATGATTCGTGTGAATGTTTTCATATCGAAATTCTGATCATCCCATGCAAAGTATGTCAAAAGTTATACCATCTTGAGTAACGTACAACAAAATAGTCATCAATTTAAATTTAAATTAAATGAAACCTAGTAAAAGAAAACCGAAGACTTAGAGATAAAGTAAAAATCTGTTGTGAAATTATTAAAATAGAACTGTAGCACACTGTGAAAGATCTAAACGGCATGCAAACGTATGAAGCATATGGTAAAATTTCTTCTATAATTCAAACGCCCCGTGCGTCTGTTGTAGGATAAAACATTGTACTACATCAACTAATTTTCTAGGAATTAATGATAGTAGTTCTAGTTGAATAAATCTTTTGCATAAAAATGCGAAAGTATTTACGAGAGTTTTTCTAAAGACGTTTACCGGTGCATCTGCACCAAAGGTTAATCAGATATAATTATATTTTCTGATCATTTTACTTCGTCACTTTCTGGAAAATTACAATGCGTCAAGTGTCCATACGATGTGGTAAAGTGAGAGCTGATAATTGGATGAAATATTATGCTTAAAAATGAATTCAATTAGGTTCTAATTGACTTTGATCACTTTGAAGAGCTACTTGCGAAATGCTCTGCATATTGAATGATTAAATATGGGAATAATTTAGCATTATCTATGTAACCTTTAACGGATCTAACACGTAGAATTATCTCGATTAGAATTTTTTCAAGGATATTTATTTAATATTCTCACGAATATTGATTTCATTGAGAAATATTCGAAGGTGGACCTTAGATATCTTCAACCGGCACAGCAAAAAAACAAAATGTTTTAGCAAAATATTTTTATCAGCCCGTTTGGGTTATTTTTGTCAAAATGATACCGATATTGTGTTTTGGATCATTGCAATTCATCTTGTGTCTTTAAAAGAAAGGCATGACTATACTGATATTTTGGCATATCTACTGATTTGTTTTTCGTAAACACTGACTCATTTGCTATTCAATCCTGTTTGCCTTTCTGTTCCCTCTGAATAAATATTGATCAGTCAGCTACAGAACAAAAATATCATTTATTTTTCTGTCATATGAAATTTCTACGTATTATATATTTTTAAATATAATACTTATTAAAAATTAAGTTTGTAAGAAACATGATCGACGGTTTTTCTTCGAGCCCACACATCTTAATAGCGTTTGAAACGAAGAAATGATTTGAATAAAACAAAATGAGACAGTATAGTTGACTCTATTAACAAGAACAATGCAGAGAGTTTAAGTCTAGTCCTTTTTATATTATTATTATTATTATTATTATTATTATTCTATGTGTTAAAACTAAAACAATCATTCATAACTTACGAATTTATTTTTCAAGCTTAAGTTTTTTAAGTCCAATTAGAATAGGAATAGAAGACATGACTTAAGTTATAATGATACACGCTATTCGTACTGAAATACAGCATTGGTTTTCTGGCAATATCAAGTAGTTTTTTCATATATTTCCTCTATGTGCACTATTGTACAAAAGAAAAACAATAATTTTCCTTTTCAAAAATTGATCATGGGATCAAATATATAGAGAAGACTTTATTAAAATAATGCTTAATCATGGCCAAAGCATATACCCAAACAAGCAAATAGATAAATTACAACATAAATTGCACATGTAATTAACATTCCAACAGCGCAACCAAGTTGAGCTTTAATAAGGTTTAATTTACCATATGGGACGGATGGACATACTTTTGATGAAATAGTACCCTGCTCTATAGCTAGACCACATTCCTCAAAAATAGCTGAAAAATTGGCTCGATACGATTCGATGCCACGAACTGCACAACATAATTTATCACCCAAATAGCATTTACAAAGATCATTGATAAAAATTTGATCAAAATATATCATCATACAAGCCAATGCACCACTTAATACTTAAAAACAACAAAGTGAAATAATATTTTTAATCTAATGAAGAAAAGTTAATAATAATCTTTACTCACTTGTCCATATCAGAACATACGTTGCACAACAACGACCACGACAACAGCAAGCTATAAAAGAGAACAAAACAAATATATATATATATATATATATGAATATTTATCGAATAGAATAACAAACTGATGAATAGCATCAAAAGTAGTGTCTTAATAAATATGATACCGGCCCAAAAGCCAACCCAAATCGTTCCATGTGCAAGATCTATATAATTTGAACCAACTTCTAAACCAACAATTGCAGCAGTTAAGGCGAGTTGAGCCAGACCTATAATCGCTGAAGTCCATCGAGGAAAACGCTCCGAAAAGCCCATGATTTTTACTCTGTTTTTGCTGTTTTATTTAGAATCAAAAGTTGAATGACTAAAAAGAAATAATAGTCTTCAAAAATTTTACTGTAGCCTATATTTATACTAGAGTTTTATTACAAAAAAACAAAAAGAAATTTAGTAGGAACTTTTATTTTTTTAGAAAGAAAGCAAATTACACCTATGCGACAAAAATATCGGAAGCAAAATGGTTGATTCTGTCTCACAAAAGTTGAAGGGAGAAAAAAGGAATATTGTACGTCGATGACGGTTCGTCCTAATATAGTCGCCTTTTTTCTCCTGTCTTCCTTGTCGCAGAATGCTCCATTCATTTCTACCTTTCACGTAAACTGACGTTATCAAGCCACAGCTGTTTCTCATTTTACAATATAGCTAGCGTCTCTAAATGACTCACTGAATAACTTGTATAGAGATGTTTACTAATTCATCGCTAGAAGGTAAAATCTTTCTTTTGTTGTTAGTCTATTTCACTAATATTTTATTAATTTAAAAAAAATAATGTTTAGAAAAGAAAAAAGAAGAGTGTTTTTTCACGATGATTGCGTTGGTGGTCGTTTGTGCCCATCTAAAGTAAAGAGACCATCAATTTTTTTTAATTCACATATTTCACAGTTATTAAATGTTTTTAAAATGTTCAATTCATCAATCGTCCACCGAAAATAACGCATAAGAAATAGACGCATAAAAAGTTCATGCGATACAATAATTATATTTTGTGTTGGATCATGATGTCCATTGTCCATCTCACGAAATAGAGTATCAAGAAATAATGATGCCCGATCATATACATCAGCACCACTTTCACCCGATGCGAAACGATAGAAAAAGTGTCCTAAACGATCACGATCTGCAAATACTTGCTTTTGTGTTGTTAAATCAGCTAAATTTCCAAATTCTTGCTCACGTAAACGTGGGTCTTCACGTTCAGTTATGATTTGCAATGGCGAAAATGCTTTTCGAATATTTGACCAAGTTTGTTTCGAACGTTTGTATGGACTCATATAAATATAAACTGATTCTTTACCAATTACTGACTGTAATTTTTGACCAGCTGCAAGAGCTTGTTTACGACCTTTTTCAGTTAATTCAATATCATGATCGGCCACACGGGCATATAAAGCTTTGCAAAAATAGAAGAAATTAATTTAAAATTGAAAAAAAACAAATGAATATTCATCTCACTCGTATCAACATTAGCTTGAGATTCTCCATGTCGAACAAGAAAAATGCGTGATGGACGTTGACGAAAACGAATTGTTTTCTGCCGATTAAATAAATAGTTTATTAGAAAATCAAGACAGGCATCGAAAATTCCGAAGAAATATAAACAAATTGAACCAAGACCAATAAGCAATATCCATGTTAATAAGATAATCATTGTTTACGCTCTAGTGTACATCTATAGATATTTGTCAATTATGATCACATAGTCCAAAGTCGAAATTTTTTACGACGAGCAATTATCAAAGAAAGAGGAAATATAATACGTGATCGCTTGTATTTGATTACTTCATGTGTAACATGATTGTTAACTATACTTGAAAATGAAAACAAGTTATTTTATCTAGAATCGAACGATATAAACAAAAATAATACTGTAAAAAAGAAACCGATTTTTGAGTCATCAACTACTTCTAGCTTTGCCGATACACTCATTGATATGAATGATTAGTATAGGCGAATGATATATTTCGACAAGCGTATAATAATTGTCATGATTGAGATTTTAGCTGTTTTGTATTAAGAAACAAAATACATCATGCATTTCTCGTTTTATTTATGGACGCATTTTGCTCGCCTTCTCACGTACGGTTTATTTCATTTTCCCATTCGTATAGCGCATCTGCTAATTTCTATTTTTTTTTGTTATTTGTCAAATACTTTCAAGATGTCTTCAGGCAAAGGGTTTCAATCAAAAGAAAGTTGCGAAGACTTGGTAGGATTTCGCAACTGGCAAACTTCTAATTCAAATATGAATAAATTGATTGATGTTGTTATGGAACTAGCTAAACGCAAGTGTAACATGCAATAAGAACAAGCTAATTGCGTTAGGATTTAATTATATTTCTTAAGGAATTCTATTACGGTGGGGTTTTTCTAGTAGTGAAAGAATAAGATATTTTTATTTTTGAATTCATTAGTTATTGGAAATAGAACCATGTACATAAGAAGCTTTTGATTTCTAAGTTTAACTTAGAATAGTTTAGTTTACAATAATTGTTCGGGCCTTGCAGAGTCTTTCATTCAAGTATTCAGTTTTTAGAACACAAGACAAACTAAATGTTTCCTCCATGTTAAGAGTACTTAGTCTATTTTACGGAAACATGTTTTTTTCTGAGCTCTTTTCCTGTCGGCTGCCATCGAGACTTTTTTCTTCCTTCTATTCGGGCCTGATTTTATTTGAATTACTTACAAGCAACCGGAGATGTTGAACTATTTTTAGTAATAATTCAATGACGAAAAATAAATGCCCACTAATTATTTATAACTATAGGAAAAAGAAACTTCTATTACAGAAACACATAGATAAATGCCGAATATAATAAAGAAATCAATCAATTTTATAAGAATTTTGATTAATAAATACAAAAGTAAAAATTATAAGAGACTCTCAAAATCAAGTCATATCGATAATTTCCATGTGCGATATTGCTTTTTTTTAAAATTTATATTGAAATCATTAAAAATTTAACATTTATATTCTCCGGTTAATTTTTAAAATGTCGCACAATCAAAACGTAAACACTTTACATACACTTTATTTTAATTTTTACAGGCTATCATCTTATCGGTGATAAAGGTAAATATTTATTGATTCTATATTAAACGTTTGCCCATCTCAAATAGAAACTAGTAAATATAAATCAAACATTCGTATCTATGAAATGCTTGTCGCCTGTCAGTATTTGTGAGCAAAATTTTCTTTATGAATCATTATCATTATTTTTTATTACGAGCAAATGAGAATAAAACCTTTCGTTTTGCTTCGAATGACATGAATAATTCAGTTTCTGTGATTGATGTTCATATTTATCAAATAAAAGAAATTTACTTTTCAAGGACTGTTTTCATTTGATTGCATTGCTACATGATATAATCATATCAATCTCAGGGTTTACTATGAAAAATTTCTTTGCCAGTCGAAGCAAAGAAGCGATATATCTTCTTTTTTATTTTTATTTATGATATATGCTTTCTTTGTTTTGAAGCTTTAATGTCACAGGTTTTTTAATAGTATTTTTAGTAAATTTATATGCTGTCTAATATTTACAATATTTTGTTGCCATATGTTGCAAAATATTCACGATTTATGATGTTGATATGTTTCGATTTCAGCAAAAAGAAGAAAAAAATCACACATTCTTCGATAAATCTCATTTGTATTTGACTATGACAAAAGAAATCATTGCCATTTGTAGACGTCGATTTGCACTTTCATGTTATTATGACATGAATATCATGCAGGAAAATTTCTTCGTTTGCATATACTAGACGTTGTCCTACACAAAAATCTGTGATTTAAATTCTACTTATTTATCCAGAAAGACGACCTAAAATGGCAGTTAATTTCTTGTGTGATATTTATCTATGAACTTGTAGTACGCTACACAATTTGAAAAAATATCTTGATAGTCTTGCTTCCTATTCGCGTGACGAAATGGATGTGCTGTCAACAACCTAGATGTGAAATAGAAATATATTTAACATATTTGTCCTTCACACGTTTTGGACAAACGTTGTAACATATATTAATAGATATTTTGCATTGCTAATATCCATGACCATACTGCAAGATTTCATACATCAAATCATTTATTGATGAGTAACTGAAGCTCTGTCTAGTAATATTTTGATCATACTCAAAGCTGAAGACAACTCATGATATACTTCATAATGAAAGGCTCTATGTTTTCTAATATGTAACACGCATTTGTAGTAACACAGGACTCTACTATGTTAATAGTGCATAGAATATCTTTTATTTCTCCAATCACTCAAATTTTTCATAATCTGTTTATTTTATTGTATTAGTATTATTTGTGGTCGTGCGATTTTCCATTCAATATCGAATGAGAAATTATGTACTTTGCTGCATAGGATTGTATTTGATTGCGAAATAAATTTTTATAGCTTGTATCATTTAATTTGATTCTATGTCTACTTATGGAAACTCTACACTTTTCACTGATTGCAAGTATAATTTGAATGTCCAATCAGTATCATCGCAAGCAATATGATAGCATCAGCAATCAATCAAAATTTGTAGAAAGCAAAAAGCATTACTAACAATTAACATATTACCGTATCGGTAACGTCCATTTCTTCAGCAAAATATGTACTTCACTTGGGTACTCGATCTTATGCACATTTAAGACTAAATAACTATTAACAAGAAAGATTCACATATAATTCTTTGATAAGAATTCTAAATCAAAATTGCTCAGTATGATCCGAGCATTACAGATATCCTTCTAGATGAATCGATAACATTCGATTTATTGAGAAATATTCATTCAATGACAAGATTTTGTATTTTTCCCTTTGTTTTTCATCATGTAAATAAAAATAAAATATTCAACTGCACGAAAAAAATAAAAATAGAAGTAATGAATTATATATTGTTGTTTGTATTATTTTTGATAGGTACCTACGATATCGGACGCGATAAATATGATTAGTGCACAGGTATTATGACATATAGGACTCAAATTTTTGATAACGATGATTTTACTCGTGTATTGCTTTCGCACATACAAGGATAGGCAATGTAATAAATCAGATCTATATAGTCACCTGAATCAATTGAAAATAATCTAAGCGTTTCTTTTTTCTCACATCGGATTAGTGCATTTCTTGCCAGTCGATGCTGTGTAATTATTTCAAACAAAATCAGTTGCTTGAATAAAACATAATTATTTAACTATTTGAAAAAGAAAAATAAAATTTTTTGTCAATTTTATTTATTTTCTATTTTTACTTTTTCCTATTATAATTACAAATAAATGTAATATATGTCTAATAGGGCGTCGCAGTTGAATGAATATATTTGCTGCAGTGTTTTCATTTGCGTCTTGTTCTCTCGTCTAGCCATCAATACATATACGAGCCATTCGAACGTAGTTGAAATCGTCATTTCATTCTTCTCTTTTATGTATTGATCGTCTTTCGAGTGACATTCATGGGTATGGTGAGTTCTTCGTTTTTATCAGCACCAGAACAGACAATAAACGAATCGAATTATATTTATCATCAACAATTTTCAACATTACATAATACTTCTAATAATGACAAAATGCCAGTTATAGTTGATGTTATGAGTATCGGTTCATCAGAGCCAAAGAAACGTACCAAAGTGTTACGTACTTCTGTTGTAAATTATGGGCCCATCAGTGTTAGAAAACGTCACAGTGTTGCTCCAACATTAGCGACTGGACGTCGTTCGAAAGATGCCATAGTAGAAGGTGAAGCTGCTATAAAACGTGATACACGACGTATGAAAAATCGTGAGGCTGCAAAAACTTTGAGGCAACTTCGAAATGATATAGAAGCTCAATTAAAAGATCGAATTAAAGAATTAGAATCTGAAGAATGCTCATTGCTATTTGAAATCGATAGCCTACGGGAATATAAACATAGTCTGGAAGAACGATGCCGACAATTGGTTCCGATGTATAACTCTATGAATCTAACAGCAGCACCAGCATCATTGCGACATCATGAATATGATATTCAACCAAAATTAGAACCTTGGATTCCGTTTCATTATTATTGTGCTGATCCAAGTGATCAACGACGTCCTCCATCTCCACAATGACGGCTGTTACGTAACTTATGAATCTACTCAATTGTCTTTTTTTGTCTGTAAAGTATAATTTTTATAATATAAATACGCTGATAATAAATCTATATAGTCAAATATGATCTTTTTTAATTAAGGTAAAAACTAAGCAATATTCCTCTTTTAGATGGAAATAAAGCTTTATTTTCTTTGTGATTAAAAAGATACATCACTTCAACCTACGTCGTTCATTACGTAGATAGAGTTTTCATTTTCACTTGAATACATTGGCGGGCCACCATGAGGCAATTGGTGACAATTGCCACACGGGAAAATATTATTTATGGTATATATCTATCTGTATATACCCATGTCATCAAAATCGTGACGAAATCGTGAGATTTTATCGCGATATATCGTCACAACTGATGATTTTTTGTCAATTTTCCCAACAAATCTAGGTTCAGCAAACAACGATACATTTTTGACGAAATAGGTTAATGACATCAGATTGCTCATCATAGGGCTTCCTCAAGCTCATTTTCTTTATATTTCTTGTTCTACGAAAAGAGCTGAATAAACAGGTAACAAAAGTAGCCAATAGAAAAAGTACGAATAACAGTGCCAAACAACTTGAAGACGGAGACAGATAGCTAGCTTGACGACAATATGAATGATATTATGTGATTTCCCATAATATTACCCATTGTGAGTAGTTAAGTGAAAATTGACGATTTATCGCGATAAAATCGCTGAAATTTACATGTTTTACTGATTTTTCCCTGGAAAATCACGATTTATGTACCATTTTTTCAAAAATCGTGATTAATCGTCTAAATTGCGGCCATTTCGACGGCATGGGTATGCATACGCTACATCTAAAATATGACTTTTTTTTAAAAACAAATATGGCATTATTATTTATTGTCACGCCTCCATATAAGACGCTCGCCCACCCATAAACGTGAACGTATATGATCATGTATGCATTAATCACCCTTCTATAAATAGATATCGAGAATATTTCTATCGGTAGCCGAAGTAATATGTTAAATTTTCTAATTCTGTAATTGAAAGAGGTAGTTGGTATGACTTTATCACAGACACTATTTAATGCCATAAGGTATGTTTTTAATGTACGTTTGATATATGAATCTGGCTAAATTCAAGGACAAACAGGCAACGATAATTAATCACTGAAGATCACAAAGATAAAGTAAATTTTTATTGAATAAGGCTTTCATTGAAATTCTGTTTTATCTTGCTAGATACAATTTTATATACTGCAGTTCCAAAAAAAATCTAATTATTCATTAAATTATTATTCTGTCCAAGTACTAGTTTTATTACACACATTTCCTAAACAAATTAGAGTCTATATTGTCATTATTTTTCACGTCAAGCAAGCTCGACTTAAACTTTTACTACAGAATAGTATTCTACATTAGAATTACTCGAAGTGATTCTTAATGGGTTGTTACTTGATGCAGTGTGGTGCCGTTTTTATTCTCCGTTTATTCTCCTTTTCCATATGCAAATGGAAATGAAAGTTTTCTCAGGTGAAAAGAAAATCAAGTAACATATTAAGATAAACCATTCTCTGTAGATAGATGCTTGAATGGCTTTTTTTTCTACTGTTACACTCAATGCATGCTTGTAATTCACATACTATGATGGAGCCAATGATTTTGATGTGCAGTATTTTCGCACAAACATTGAATTCTACCTTTCGCAATATTGAAGACATTGTTTTGAAAAAAATATTAAAAACTCATTTTTACCAATTGAAGAAAATAATTAAATTCATCTTCTCAACTATCTAATGGAACTGAATTAATGATAGTTCTTTTGGTATATTTAGATGAGATATATCTTGCGATATTATTCTAAATTAATGATGAAATAAAATTGAGTAAAACTTAATTAATTTCAGACTATTTAGTTCTATCACTTCATTTTAAAATGTTAGTCTAGCAGGTACTTTTTGTGAGATAGCATATGAAGAAGGATTTTAGACTTTAGTTATTTATTATTGTTTTTTCTTTTTCAGAAAGATGTCTACGATTGGTTCGTAGTAAATATTGATCTAACGAGGGAAGGTCACCAAGTGTTCAATCGCTTTCAAGTCACAACTATGTGTGTCATGTAGACCCCAGTGAGGTATGAAAAATTCCAAAAGGATAAGAGCGGATAGGCCTTCTGTCCAGAGTTATAGTCATTTTACTGAAATTTTAGCCTCTGACATAGTATATATCAACAAATCGAATGTCAGTATTTTGACCTGAAATTTTGCCCATCGACAGGTCTCTTTGTGAGTAGAACGCTCTGAAATTTTCAGCTCAAAGGAATGTTTTGTTTCCGAGATATTAAAGTTCCAAAAAGCACTCATATTTCACGACAGATACTAAAATGTTCTGATTTTTTAGACTTTCATATTTCGGAAACGAAACATTCTTTTGAGCTGAAAATTTCAGAGCATTCTATTCATAAAGAGATCTGTCAATGGGCAAAATTTCAGGTCAAAATACTGACATTCGATTTGTTGATATGTATTATGTCAGAGGCTAAAATTTCAGTAAAATGACTATAACTCTGGACAGAAGGCCTATCCGCTCTTATCCTTTTGGAGTTTATCATACCTCACTGGGGTCTGCATGACACACATAGTTCTGGCTTAAAAGCGATTGAACACTTGGTGACCTTCCCTCGTTAGTTAAATTTCATCCTTCATCCCATCGCCGTCAACAATGCATATACCAATAAAATGTGGTGATTTTCATAAATGATGTTGATTTTACTCTGAAACTGATTGTATTATTAGTCTATTTTCATCCATTTGTTTATGTATGATTTAGAAGAAAGTCTCTATAGACACATCAAATGACCTAAACAATATTTTGCTAGTTTAAATAGAAAATAATCCATTACAATCTTGAGTTTCAAATAAATAAATGGTTGCTACAGGCATAGACTAAAAAATGAGATTGGTCGAAAATTGACTAGCTCCAAAAAATAAGAACTGTTTTCCAGATGTTTCAAACCTAATCCAAAATTCACTACAAAATTCATAAGCAAACTATAGAGCTCTATGGATTCAATAGAAATTTAAGTGACGTTTTTACAGTTGTTGCAGTCACACAATCAAAGTACGTTTATGAAGACCAAAAGCAATGCATGAAACGATTGGCTCCGAAAAAAATATCAAAATTTTGTAATTCACTAGACGTATATCGATGAAAGAAAAACAAAAGCTTTTATTTTCTATTTGATATGAATCATCGTGTCAGCGAAAGGTGATTATAATAAATTAACAATACCTTGTGCAATAACGATACGTCTGTTATAGTTAGAAGAACGCAAGAAAAATGCTGCTTTTTGCATGTTCTTTCTGACGGGTAAAACATTAGAAGTAGTTTTTTGTTTTCTTTTCTTCTATGCAAAAGTAAAAAGATGAGTTTAGAGTTATTGGCAAATGAACTCTTAGTTGATATATTCGAGTTTTTAAATGTTCACAATCTATTTCGTGCTTTTCATGGTTTAAATACTCGTATTGATCAACTGCTTTTAATTCAACTTCAAAAATATTATCTCGATTTTCGTTCCATAACAAAACATGATTTTGAAGTTTTCTCTCAACAACATCTCACTTCTATTAATGATCGAATTATTTCACTTCATATATCCGATGATATCGAAACACCAAATTTACCTGAACTTCTTCTCTCGCATGGTTATCGCATCAGTCAATTCATTCATTTGAAATCCCTTTCAATCGACTCTATCTCTTCTTTTGATCTATTAAATCAAATAATACTGCAATGTCATGAACTTTCATATCTAACACATCTAAACATAATGATACAAAATAACCATGATCCAGAGGAAAATTTTCGCGATTTTATCAATAGTATTTGGAGTCTAACAAAACTTACTCATTGCAATCTAGATATTCGATATCCGTATGCGACATGGCTTCTTGAAATGTCAGCGTTTTCGAAGTCAATCAAATATTTATCTACTAGAAACATCAGCTATAATGAATATAATTTATCACATTTAATCAAACATACACCACAACTTCGAGGACTCGATATGAGTAGTATTGGTCTATTCTATAATCAATATCCTCGAGTTACATTTTCATCACTTATTTCATTGCATATGGTTGTGGAATGCGCATTAGAATTCATGAAAAATTTCTTTCAACGAATACCAAATTTATGTTATTTGACACTCGAAATAAATAATATGCATTTAGATGGACAAGCATTGGAAAATATTTTTGTCAAATATTTTCACAATATTAAAACTTTTCGTTTTAAAATGACAGTTGAATTTTCACCATTGGAAGATTTAGAAGAACAAGTTGATCAATGTCTTGATTCATTTCGAAGTCATTATTGGATTGCAAAACATAAATTGTACGTTCAATGCGATTGGTGCCCCATGGATGTCAACAAGACTGGTCTTGTCTATAGTATACCTTATGCTTTTGATACATTTAATTATATAGATGGTAGGCAATCAAAGTCGACGAGTCCTTGCAATTTGAATAATAAATCTCGTATTTCATCAAAAATCGTTCATTATGCTCATAATAAAATAGATTTTTCAAAATTTTCAATTCTTGATCCTGTTGAATTTGTTAACATTCGTCATCTTAAAATTAAACTTCCGTTCAATGATATATTTTGGTCACATATTCCAAGATTAGATCAATTGATTTCTTTGGATGTCAAATTAAGTCAAAATTTTGGTTATTCTCAATTGCAAACATTCCTGGATCGAGCACCAAATCTTTATTCGTTACGTTTTTGTCATTTGAATAATTTCTCAATGAAATCATTCGGTATCAATAGTAGATCAATTCGTCGACTGGAATTTTTTCAAAATTTTCAAGTTCGTCTAAAATATTTTAATAGTGAAGAATGTACTATTTTATCTAATTCATCGCTTGCTGCTCAATGTGAAGTTCTTTTGATTGATGTTGAAAATCGAACAGATATTCTTCAATTGATCAACGTTATGCCCAATCTTCGAGCGCTAAGTGTTCGTCCTAAGGATAATGAGAATAATCAACTTCAATCTTGGGAAATAACGGAAAATCTAATTGAATGGTTACATAAAAATTTGCCATCTAATTATACATATTCCATCACTCGAAATTTCTATAACTTGGCTCGTATTAGCATATGGCTTTCAACTGCATCCTAACCAATACAAAACAAAAAAAGAATTTCTTACTTTTCTTTTGTGTGCAATGGAACCAATCTCTACGCAATAGTTTAAATGATATTTTTAACATAAAAGAATATGTCAAATATTTTATTGTCTTATTATGTGTGTCCTCTTCTCTCGATAATGCACGGAACTTTTTAGCATAATAAAAATTCATGAAGAATCAAAATCGAAAAATGTTTTACCATGTCGTACAAGCCAAAAAAATAAAATTAAGTTCTGGGAAATTTTCAGAATGTCCCAATACAATAATGAAATAGGACATATTACTAGAAAGTGTTTCTTTTCGATCATCGAAGCTGTTCGATGTGAGTTAAATTCAAATTATATGTCACTGAAATGCTATATAGTATCTGGCAATCAACTGTCAAAACAAAAACAAAAAGTAAAAATATAGTGATAGCTGAATAGCTCCTAGATACGAATGCAACGAGTCTCGAGTGCCAGACATTTTAAAATATGTACTATACAAAATAATAGACATGATGTTGTTTAGTCTAGTCTATAATCTGTAAATATTATATGCTAATACGACGGCAATAAAAAAAAGCAATACGATACGATTGTTGCGCGTTCTGTTGACATTCATAATTATCTACCGCATATGGAGAAAACCAATAGGCCCAGAGAAATAAAATAAAAATAAATATTGATCGTGTCATGGATTCATAAAATGAGGAAATTGGTAGAAAAATACTTTTGTGAATATGAAACTTGGAAACAATAAATTACAAAAACTTACTGGGGAAATTGATTCATTGTTTTCATATAAATCAAGATAATTTTCATCTCATTAGCAAATCCAGTTTGTTTTTGCCTATAGTTGCAATTAATAGTAGAGAAACGTTTAAAATCATACAGTTATTAATACATTCATAGACAGAATACAGGCGAATCGATGAGAGAGGGGAAATGTGTTGCTTAAGTATGAGTAAATCGAATAATCTCAATGGATAAAATCAAAGCTATCTTGATATTAGCGACATTAATGTATCTTTTGTATTCGCTATTCGTCATTTGCATTCACAGCACGGAAGAAAATATTGCAAAGTAACCAGAAGAACGAAAGAAAACAAGATGCATTTTCCCCATGAATCACATGTAACAAGTATTTAGAATTTTAATTTTAGCTTACGAAGCGAAATGCGCTTCGAAAATTTGGCCAACGAACTTTTATTGGACTTATTTGAATATATTGATGTTATTCATCTTTTTCATGCTTTTCATAATCTTAATGCTCGTTTCGATGAACTTCTTGTCACTAGGTTGCATGCCTTCGATCTCGATTTTCGATCCATATCCAAATATAATTTTGACAATTTTTGTCAACAATATCTACCAAATATTACGCAAAAAATCAAATCACTTCATCTATCTGACAATGAAGAAACGCCGAATCTATCAAAATTATTTCTTTCATATGGTTTTACTATCAATCAATTCTTTAATTTAAAATCTTTTTCTTTGTACAATATTCAATCATTCGAAATATTCAATCAATTAATAATACAATGCATTCGACTTCCTTATCTAACACATCTACATATGATAAAATGCTTTTTTAATTATCGTGATAATGAAATACAATATTTGATGAATAATATTTGGCGTCTTCCAAAATTGACTCATTGCATTCTCGATCAAGTTACATCGAGAAAAATGCGATTGTTTGATATTAGCATTATTTCGACTTCGATTAAATGTTTGACTTTCAAAAATATTACATGTGATTTTAGAGATCTCTCTCATATATTCGAATATACATCATGTCTCGAACAACTTTCTATCAATTTAATATATGGTTTTCCCAATCAACAATTACAATCTCCTATCTATTCGATTATTTCTCTAAAAATTTTATATCACGGTTGTATAGAAGTTTTAATCAATCTCTTTCAAAATCTACCAAATTTAATTCATTTAACATTAGAAACATTTGACATGTACTGCGATGGATACGAATGGGAAAAAATTCTCGTAAGTTATTTACCGACAATTGAACATTTCAAATTAAAAATGAATCTAAATTTTCCCTATAATAACAATTTAAATCAACAAGCCGAAGAATTACTCAATACATTTCGAACTTCTTTTTGGCTTGTAGAACATCAATGGTTTGTTCGATGTGATTGGGATCCATTTAATATATTTTATAATGGTATGCTCTATACATTACCCTATAATTTTGGCGATTGCTTTTATTTTGATGCCGTCTCATCTAAATCGACTTGTCCTGTGGATACAGAGTACTGGTCATACGATCATGTAACAACATTGTCACATAAAAATCCAGAAAACGATTCATCGAAAGATTCAATTATTTTTTCTGCTCGTTTCTCAAAGATACGCCATTTGAAAATTAGTTTTCCATTCAATGAAAAATTTTGGTCATGTATTTCAGCACTGAATAGATTACAATCAATTAATATAACACTTCTATCGACTGATTTTGGTTATTCTCAATTACAAGACTTTCTAAATCAAACATTACATCTGTACTCCGTAAAATTATCTCATTTAAAAAATCTATCAATGCAATTTTTTACCGTGACAAGTCCATCGATTCGTAAACTTAATTTAATTGCAAAATCTAAATCATCCATTAGATATTTTACTAGAAATGAATGTTCAGTACTAGTTCATACGTCGCTTATACTTCAATGTGAAGTGCTTTTAATTGGTATTAAAGAACGATCAGACATTATTGAACTTATGAATGCAATACCGAATCTTCGAACATTTGTATGTCATTGTAACGATGATGAATACAATGTTTGGAGTTCATCATCGACAAATGATGAATTTATCGAATGGTTACAAAGTCGTTTGCCATCTAAATATTTGATTAGTCGAGATGAGAAACATCCATATCTGCTTCGATTTTGGATTTATAGAAAATAGTCTAATAAAGCTGCATTTTTTTTAATTATTACTCATTACTCGTATATTAGTATTACATGTAGATGATATATTTGTTTTTTGCTTCAATTTCTCCAAGTATTTTCAAGCAATCTGTATTATCACAGCGATTGAAAGTCGCAATCAATGTAAATAGAAAAAAAATGATTTACTTTGTTTCTAGGACTCGTACAGCTCTATTTTCTTCTTTTTCTTTTTCTTTTTTTTACCGATACATCACCGTGATGTAGGACGATTACACCGGTTTACTGATAGGGAATATTTGATGCAAAAAAAAAGCTCAAACTGTGTTTCATATTTACAAAAGTATCAAAACGTTTAGTACACGTTGTGGTTGTCAATCAGTATTCTTTTACTTCATCACGTAATACGATACGATGAATGAGGGTTCGAATTCATTCTTATTGTAGTTTTCTACTCTATTAATTACTTCGCAGAGAAAAAGAAACTATCAATTTTATTTCATCTAGTGAAAAAACAAATGACCGAGAAGTTTTCCAAACAAATAGAAACAAACGATATTCAAATATTTGAAGAAGCAAAAAGAAACTTGAAACATAAACGACAATATTTAAACAATGATACCATTGTTTAACTTAAAGTTGGTCGAAAAACAAAGCATTATGATATGAAAATAACAAACCCATTACAACTCATGTGTAGCAACGTTGAAACGTTTTGAAGACTTAAATATATGTATTATCGTGAAATATATGCTTGTTCCTATCTTGGGTAGCATATCGATACGTGGATATATACCTGGTACAGTATGTGAGAAAAGCATTGCCTATTTACGACATACTCATCTCTTATATAGATATATTATTTTCAAATTCAACTAATGATGACATCATACCATTGTCTTTGATATTTTTCTAATGAACATTTTTTGTTGAAAGAGTACATGTATGGTTGAATCATTCGATTGAATAAATATGAATTCTTAGTTTCATTATATAAGTTCCTGTCGAACCGATTGTGAGTACGATTACTAGAAGAATAGTGTTACAGTAAAATAATTGTTGCTTTGATCTGGCAATGATGTTAAAGTTGCAGACAAATACGAGAAGTATCAATAGATTTTCTCCGATCAAGTTCTATTATTAATTTCTATTGGTTAATTATATGAATGCAGGAAGATTGAAGAATGTAGAGTAACATTTTTGTCGCCTCTTTTTTCTAACTTTTGAGTACTCTTTTTACTAGGTTAATGCTCACTAGATTGAAGGATAGACAATCGGAAAAAATGACATCGTGTAACTATTTATTTGTGTCAATGCTTTGTTTCTCTCGCTACTATATATATTACACAGCACATTAGTCACTTTCACTGCTAGTCATGACATGCAGTGTATACTTTGAACGATGACATTTAGGAATGTTCATTACGATAAGCACTTCTATGAATAATTTTCATTAAGTATTGGCTCAGCACGTCGTAGGTTTTTTTTTCAAAATAATATTTCTTTAATGAAAAATGTTAATATTTGTTAGTTATATGGTAGGTATACAAAATAGCGTCCTGTGGATTTGAATACTTTCTATTCCGACTTCAGAAAAATATTATTTATGAAATTCTTTCGTGATTCTGACTTTAAAAAAAGGTTAGAAGTAGTTTTTTTTACTCGTATATATACTTTTGGAAATCTAAATAGTGGGTTAAAACGGAGAAATTCTTTCTCATTACAATAGTTCTAATCGTTTCAGTATGCATAATATCGACTAGCTCTATAAAACTCAAAACAAGTCTTTTAATATTCAGAGCCCTGAAAATAAAGGTTTTTTTATATGGGTGTAGTTCCTTCACAAATTTTATAGAAAATGCGATAGCGACTTTTTTCATAAAGAATCTACTGTTCTGTATAGAGTAAAGAAAGTGTTTTGGATCCTATACTGTTATTATCTTCTAAGATTTGATTCCTCTTGAATAACTGTCGAAAAAAGAACATTTTTTGGTCTTACTGTACTTTGAATTCTTACCATAAGACGACTAGATTGATATTCGTACAAACGTGTATGTATCTAAAGAAAAATCATGAGTTTCGATTTTTGAAAGTTTCTTGATAGTCCAGTAGAAAGGAAGATTAGCGAATAAATGAAGATTGAAAAATCGAACTATTGTTTTCTTTCATATACACGTCTGTATTCTCTACTAAGTACTACCATCTGTTATAATCTATTCGTTTTAATTCTCCCATTTGTCAAAGTCGGTATTTTTTGTTTTTTTCTTGTGGCGTTTTTTTTTCAAATTAAAACTATTTCAGAATTTCTGCTATTAGTTCTTACTCTATGATATCACATAAAATAATTCCACATTGTAGCAGTTTTAAAAGAGAATGGTTCAACAATAGAAAAAAAATCTACTTTGACAAAGGGTGAACACGCTGATGCCGGAAATCGTTTATAACTTGACTCTTCTGTTGGTTTCACAGATACAAAACTGCCAGAAATTAAGGAAATGTGAAGAAGATATTACGACGATGTGGATTGAAACTCGATAGAGACTCTCTATTCATTGCACTTCATTAATATGAAAGCATTAATATGCAGACGACTGAAATCAAAGGTTAAATACGTTCAAGAAATCAACCATACTCTTTTCATTGAACTTATTGCGCTGGCTTTAAACCCTCACAGTGACTAACATAAAAATATATCGTTCTAATACATAACCACAGATTTTAAAAGTAAGATATTTTTTCTCTATTACTTGATTCAAAAGAGAATTGCAAATTATTGAAACCTGTCAAAAAATACATCATTTCGGTTTTTCTTTTAAGATTAATTTATTCGATTGACAAGTTTTATCACAAACAAAAATATCAAACTAATATTTCAACAATTTACTCCAATGAATAAAATAATATCTGGCTCAAAATTAGACCCACACCATGTAAAACTCCAAGGTAATTGGACGGCGGTATAACACTGCTAAGTTCTATGACTTTAATGTTCTACAAATATTCTAGTATTAAATGAATTAAGTAATCCCAGTGTTGTGAATTATGAAGAAAGTAATCAACAATCGCAAGCTATTCCAGTAAACATCAGAGTTACTTTCCTTCGTATTGGTAGGTATTGTTTGAGATTTCTAGCATTGAATCTCATTCGATTTTATCCACTTCTTAGGTGAAATCGACACATTAAATGAGAGGTATCAAGCTCAAGCAGCTATCGATGCTCGATGGCTGGTCAATTATAATCTTCTAACACGTCAACTATCACGAAATGATAAACAACGTTTAGATGAAGGAAAATCAGTGACTCTTGTTAAGTATACCGATTCTAATTGGCATCCTCAATTGTTCATCGAAAATGCCCTTGGTGATCTCAAAGAACAAATTACTTATAGTGCTAAGAAATCAAACGATCAATTTGTCTATATTTGCGAACATCGGGAGATCAAAGCACTTTTGTGGGAAAAATTAGAATTACATCATTTTCCATGTGACGTTCAAGAATTATCGATTTCAGTTGGTTCAATGCTTTACGATGATAAGGTAATCTTGGTAGCTGATCATCTACGCCTAAGTGGAATCAACCGTGAAACATTTGTTGACCAACAAGAATGGTTTCTTTACGAGCATGTTATTAGTGAGCAACGTTTTGTGAAAGAGTTTTTGATGGACGACAACGATGATGCAGTGGAAGAACATTCAAAAAGCCAAAATGAACGAAAACGATCCTTCTTGGTAATTTCGTGCCATGCAGGTAACATGAATCATTGATAGGATTGCAGAAATTTAAGAGTCTTGATTCGATTGTATGTCACATAGGAGGGGTCTATCAGACTAACTTCTCATTGAGTATAATTTGATTTAATGATAATATAGAACAGTAGTATTTGTTAGAAAGTTTGCAATGATTTTTCTTTTTTGTATAATAGCTCGACGATCAGAATATTTCTATTGGAATGGCTATTGTTTAATGTGTCTTATCACCATATGTGGATTTTGCATATTTTGTATTCCACCGACGTAAAAAACATCTGTACGATTTATTAAATGTCGGTCAGATCGATATTTTATTTAGGCTGCCACAAAATCGTCTCCAAATTGGTGTTACACTTCTTCTTACCTCGATAACTTTTCGCTGGACAGTCAATAGATCGCTAGTAGGTGTACTAAATTTAGAGTTCGAATACATATATCAGATGCGTTTTTATATTTTTTAGCCTACTATTTCATATCTGACATCGTTAGATAAGTATTCAATCATATCTATATTCATTTTGGTCATCCTATGTATTTGGCATGCAGCAATGGGAGCAGCAGTGTTCATAGCGAAGCGCTATCCAAATATTGACACTGATGATAAGTTCGTATGGATTGATCGATATGCATTATTCGGTTTTCTCGGCGCATTTTTTATCATGCACATGGCCATGCTAGTGTGGCTCTTTTTAGTTCCACTTGCTTATCGGCGACAAATGGAACGAAACGATCAAGAGTATCATATTAAAAATCGTGCTAAATCAAAATCTTTAGCAGGAAAAATGGCTTCTCGAACTGTAACGACAGCCAATGGTAGACAATGTTTACCTTCCGCTAATCAAAGAAGTTAATAATTTCAACACTAAAATTAAACAGAACTACAACTTGTTAACATTCAATTATTATCTTTCATTTCCATTAATCATTCTTTGAATTCAATATAAATATTTTTAATTGATTAATAGAAACTTTTTCTTGTCGTGTATATTTCAAAAAAACAAACAGATGCAAGGATCAAAACATCTTTGGGATAAGTGAAATCTAGCAAAAATCAGATTAGGTTAGGTTACGATGGTTTTCTTTTCTTCGTTCAATATCACACCCACACCTTCAAGATACCTAATATCATAGAATGTAATTAATATATTAACAAATGCCAGCACTTTGTTGATCGATTGGTTTCAGTTCAACTGCATGTTGCGTAACTAGTTATTCACAATCAGGCATTATTGCTTGATTATCTGTACTTTTAAGATGCCAGTAATGTGAGGTTACAAAAACAAATTATATTTTAGCTAAAAACATGAATTATATTTAAATCAAATTTTTTGTCCTCTGAGAATAAATGAAAATAAACAGCTGAGAGTTTGCACTTTTTTGTCGAACACAATTTTCGTCGACAATTTTTGCTGCTGCTTCTCTCAATAATAGTAACAAGAAATGAAAAACAAGGTGCATCATATAACTTAAAGAAACGAAAATGTTTTATTTTCTATAGACGAATAATAATGGCCAGCCTCTCAAGTTTCTTGCTCTTTTAAGTATTCGATTAAAATAAACCGCTACCTTGAAATATATTTATTTGTTCGAAATGTAAATAGTGGATTGAAGGAAAAAGAAAATTCTTTTTATAAATCAGACTTTGTACAGATCAAAACAATCCTGTAATATATGTGATCATATACTTTCTAAATAGAGTCATAGGATCAGCGTCCACAATATCGAATTACATTTAAGTAAACTTGCAAGCAAAAAAAAATATGCACAACTAACAATTAGATATTTTTCTCCGATGATATGTCTGCCCTTTTATTTAGCAATGTGCCATGTATCATTTTGACAATCGAATATGTTCTATAGATTGTTTTTTTTCCTATCATTTGACATCCTGAATATATATTATTCTACGATGAATTGATTACCATACATAAAAAAAAAACTATTAATATTCAAACAGAATACTAAAGTATACAAATACTCACTTCCATTTTCTCTGACATATTCAATAAATTTACATCTGTTAAACAATGAGCACAAATAGTAGTAAATCTGACATATTTGAGAAGAGTCATTGATAATCTCTAAAATTTATGAGATTCCAGTCCTATTCTAACTGAAATAATTCATTTTACATTCGCTCATCTCTTCAGCTGTGTTCTGTTAGTATTTATTATTATTCATTTATTGCAAGAATTAAAGATACACAATCATGAGTAGTAATCTAACTATGATCATCAAATAAAGTGGTATATAATATCATATAATCACAGTACAATCGAATTATTATACTCGATATGATAAGAACTTCAAGTGTATAAATTGTTTGAAATGATAAATTTTTGAGTGTTACTTGCATTAGAAACGAGTCTCGCAAGTTTTTACTGATTAGTGGACGTCAATCACTGTTGGAAATCACAGCGTATGAAATTAATGCTCATTAAACAAATTTCGTTTCTTGAACAACTGCTACATTCTTAAGTATAAGATTTTGCAGTGTTCGATAACATACTAAGAATGCCTTCAAAGTATACTATGAAAGGCAGTATCAAAATATTGAATTCAACTAGTCTCTCCAGTTGAGTTTTTAGTCTCTTAGTTCTTACGGTAATCTTTGATGATTGTAAAACAGCTGAAAAAATGCCGATAAATACTTTACTACATATTAATACGAATTATTCTTGTTTGAGAAGTTCAACGAGTAGACGAACTATTTTGTAGTGAAAAATAGATTACAAAGAAGAAATTACTTGTGGTTTTAATACGAAATAAAAACATCGTAGAAGACATACGATCGACTTGTACCAATTGGTGCTCAATAGATTCTATGATGTTCTTTTATACTAGCTATGTTTTCATAAGAAAAATATAAATGATATATTTCTTTGCCCCTAAAATGCGAATTTTTTCATTTTATTACTAGAATATAAATAAATTCTTTTTATTTCATACATCGAAACAAAAATTAACATAAATGAATTTAAAATGTAGTGAATATATTCAAAAAAACAATTCGCATCAAAATTGTTAAAAAAATACATGTGTACAGTTTCATTTCATCCGTGTCAATTGACTTTACAAATTTCATGCATTTTTCATCTCATTTTCTTTACTTCCATATAAATTTTTCTTTTTGCGACAAGCGTAGAGATGTCGATTGCTGATGATTGTGCCTTTTTTTTTGTTTTCAACTTCTAAATTCTAACTTCAATAGTGTCTCTTTTGACTTTTTTTCTTACCACAACAATTCTGATTTTTTCTTCTGTGTTTTTTTTTTAATTGACAGAAAGAAAGAAAAATAACAAGCAAAAAAACAACACAATAAAAACGTCGAGGACATCGCCTCGCTTCAGTATTCATTTAACCAGAACGATACTTACACACTAAGCCGTTCTTTGTATCATTTCATGCAAGATCATGAAAATCGGAAAGTATCTTGTTACTCGTTTTACAACTCTGGTGCCTCCTGGAGTTGTACCTGCAAATCCAATTAAACTTTTTCGTATGCTAAATCGTCAGCAAACTGCTTTCTTTCTTGTCGCTTTTTTTGCATGGACATTGGATGCTTTCGATTTCTTTTCCGTTACTCTCAATATCATTGAAATTGGTAAGACATTTAATAAATCGGTAGCCCATATCACTTGGGGTATTACTGTAACATTGATGCTTCGTTCTGTGGGTGCCATCGTGTTTGGCATTGCAGGCGACCGATTCGGTCGTAAATGGCCATTTGTTATCAATATTGCTTTTTATGCAACACTTGAAATTCTCACAGGTTTTTGTACAACATACGGGCAATTTATTGTTTGTCGTGCTCTTTTTGGTGTTGCTATGGGTGGTATATATGGCAATTGCGCTACTACAGCACTTGAAGATGCACCAGAGGCGGCACGTGGTCTCTTGTCGGGCATTTTACAGCAGGGCTATGCAATGGGCTACCTACTTGCTGCCGCTTTCAATATAGCAATTACACATAATCAACCGTATGGTTGGCGAGCACTTTTTTGGCTGGCAGGTTTTCTTCCATTGCTAGTTGCTTTGTGGCGCATCTTCTTACCTGAAACAAAAACATTTCTTAGCATCAAGGAGGCACGTAAAGCCGGCAAAACTAAAGGTAATATTCATTGCTATTTCATTTACCTAAGACGTATTTTAATTATAGACGAAGCCGGCCATGAAGTTTCTGCGGTCCAAGCAGTCATCAATTCAATTCGTCCTACACTTAAAAAATATTGGATGACACTCATCTATCTCATTCTAATGATGACTGGATTCAACTTTTTAGCACACGGAAGTCAAGATCTATATCCAACTTTTCTTAGCAATCAGCTTCAATTTTCAACAGGTCTTGTTACCATTACTACAATAGTCTCAAACTGTGGAGCTCTTATCGGTGGCTCACTAATTGGCTACTCTTCAAGTTTCTTCGGTCGACGACTTTCTATAATTGTTGTCCTCATTGCTGGTGCTGCACTTATTCCAGCGTATCTTCTTCCACGTAACAAAACAATTATGATCGGGGCATTCTTTCAGCAACTGTGTGTTCAAGGTGCCTGGGGTGTAGTTCCTATTCATCTCATTGAACTCGCACCAGATGAATTCCGTTCATTTGTCGTTGGCACAGCCTATCAACTAGGTAATCTTATCTCATCAGCTTCGTCAACAATTGAAGCGTCACTTGGACAACGCTTTCCTTTGGAATCAGACAGCGAGACCACTGCTTCACATCGATTTGATTATGGTAAAGTCATGGCTATTTTCTTAGCCTGTACTTACGTATATTTACTTATCATTATTCTGCTCGGACCTGAAAAAAAAGATGCCAAAAATGATGAATATATTGCGACTGAACTTAACAATAAAAGTGTCAAAGACGATGATACTCAATCGAAATTGTTAACAACACCAGAAGACGGACAGAAGAAACAGACATTAGAAAATGCATAAGAAATTATCATAGAACCATGAAAAAACTGTAGTGTGCAATTTTTAATACTAGAGTAAATAAATTTTAACATACTTTAAGTATACCTGAATTGATTTGAAAATGTCTTCCAATTTTGTTTTACTTGTATGTTTGATTGTTTTAAGCCTTTTTTAGAATATTCAAATATAAACGTAACATCAACCTAATAGAATCATCGGATATGCTCTGTATCCCACAATAATACCATGGTAAAAGCATACTAGTTATCCTATTTTAACGAATTGCTCGATTGCGACGTCATATAATACAGTGTAGGATTCCGAACCCCTCCATATTTGTGCTACTCGTAGCTATACAATCATACGCTTGTTAACATCTAATAAGTTGATTGAGTTTGGAAGAAGATGGATTTCAATATTGGAAGTCTTGGTCAGAATCTAATATCATTGCATGTAATGGTACGCGAATGTACAACTGTGAGAAAATTTTCACACATTTGATACTTCGTAGAAATAAAAGTCTCAGTAGATCAGTTGATTGCACTCATACAACTCTGAAATATCAAGCTATTTTTTTATTCGAAGGTATTATCAGGCCGCATTAAAATAGTATATTTTTTCTAGAAAAAAACTTCTTAATCATCAAACTCTAGGCAATATGTCATCTTTCTTCATCTTACAAATATATATATATATACATCCACTCCATATTGAGCATTCATTAAGTATAAAAAGAAAATAATAGAGAACATGTTCGTCATCACTAGTTTTCGGTTGATCTCTTCATCAAGGTTATCAATATGGTGATCGAATAGTTAAATACTACAATGTTTATTCTCCTTGATATGTGAAAACTTATCAAAACTTTATGAAAATATGTAAACATTTTTCACTATTTTATTTACAGTCGCATGTAAGCTTTTTTCTTTGCATTTTTCGAAATTTAAATGCATAATTTGTTAATGCCGTGTGTCAAACATATAACACATTTTACTTCAATATATGAGAGATTTGTTTAACTTAAATGCTGTTTACCCGTATTTGAAAATAGATATTTGATCAATGAAATAGCTTAATAATCTAGTTAATTGTAACCTTTAATTTACATGTATTCACTTAACTATAATTATCATGTTTTTGTTTACTCATTAGTATACGTACTGTTGGTTCCTAAACATTTCCTCATAGGTATCTATACGGTAAGTATTGCTATAAGAAAATTCCTTGTTTGCGAAATCAATGATAAATTTACTTATTATCAAATATTATATATCATTTTTATTCATGGTTGCTGAATTCAACATTAACAAACATTTCTTATTGACTAGACCTTGTCGCCATGTGGTTAAAATAACACAAATTCATTATCTTTTACACTTTCGATAGTATTTAGTAACTTTTGACCTTAAACATTTTTGTCTTTGGCATACTGCCCTTCGACTTGTTCTATTCTTTGCGTAATAATGTGAATGAACTTTTCAAAGAAAACAAAGACACGATATACACAGACATGTAATGTGATGAATGACATTGTGAAATAGTTGATAGAGAACAAATTTATTTATTCTTCTTGATAGAACTTTGTCATTTTGACATAAAGAGCATCAGTTACGATCTAAATTTTTCTCGATAATTCTAATATGATTAATTCAAATACATTTCAAACTCTTCTACTAACAAATACAATTATAGCTGTATTTTGTATTATTCTTTTGGTAACATTAGCCGTATTTATTATTTCGTTTATTACGCCATCCCTGCGACGTCAATGGCTTGGATATAAAAATGAAAATGAAAGTAAAACTGATGATACATCATCTCTAAATCGTCAACCATCGTTCAATAATGAAAGTTATGGTACATCACGTTTTAATCCAATATTTGAAACAACATCAGGTGTAACATCAACACCTCAATTCAGTACATTATTTCATCCACATGCTACAACAGCGACACTTCTTCACCCGACTATTTGGACTTCGATGACTCCATCAGCTGGTATTGCGTCTCCTCTTACAACTAAATCGAGACCATCATTGTCAACAGTGATAACTAAACAATCATCAGCACCAGCATCATTGCGTGATCCTTCTTCTGCTACAACAGCACCACCAAAGCCACGATGAATAAGAAGCACATTTAACTGCATTTGTATATTATCGATATATTATTTATTAGTTTCTTGTATAATAATTTTATCAATCATCAACATAATTATTTTTGTTTTTCAGTGAATATGAATATGAATATGAATAGAAGACATTATCTCTCTCTCTCTCTATATATATATATATATATGTTTTTAATATTTGAATAAGATGAAAATCTAACAAACACATGAAATCAATTTCTAATTATGTTGTCAAAGATTCTAATGAACCTTTAAATAGATTTGCTAAGATCGCTATAAAAAAAGAGAACTATATAATTATTCTAATGATTTTATACATAAAAATGATAACTATGCACAGACAATAATATGATTTTCGAGAACGTCATTGAACTATACAAAAATTTAATTGAAAAGGAAAAATCGTATACACTTCTCGAAAACAGATATGATTACGGAAAACTCTTAGTGAGAATATGTTTAAATATTTTTGAGTATGAACACATTGTAGCTAATTGACGCAATAAAATAATACACCAGACCAATAATGAAATCAGAACGCTTTAAAACAACTGCAATACATTTGTGAAGGTCACGTTTATTAACACTACGAATACAGCCGTTCAGGCAGACTGTATACTAAAAACTATTACACAATACAGGTTCAACCCGGGACAAACTAATCGAGCCCGTCATGCCTTTGTAGAATCCCAAACCAAACCATACCCGACGAACTCTGCCCGCCAGTGACTTTATTTGAATATATATAGATATTGTTAAAGCAATTTTTCTCACGGCAGTAGTCTTTGCCCAAAGAATTATACACAAGCATTTATTTTGAAACGACAACGTTTCGTGTTTTCGTTAACTATTACGAATAATTTTCAGAAAGAAAAAAATATGTTTTATTGGTTTGTACCAACAATAAATACAGATTATTTCAACAAGTTCATTATCTTTTTAAGAGGCCGAGAATATTATAATTAACAAAAAAAGAAGAATGCAAAGAGAAACATATCTTGAATTATGGAGGCCAAGAAAACCAAATATACATTTCTTGTTTCTTTCTTTTTTTTTTTTATAAAAGACGTTATGAAGAAACTAAGTTTCCAATAATTTTTTTACAAAATAACCAAATAGTTAAAACGAATACGTGATGCATACACTTGGAAAATGAATTCACAAGAATAATATATATAAGGAAATAAGAAGAAATGGTAATAATTGCATAAAATATATATTGTTTAATATGTACTGAAACCGAAGGATTCGACATTATACTTAATGATGGTTGTGCATTTCCAAATGAAAAATATGCTAATTGATACCAAAGATATTGGATTTGTTGTAATCCGTGTATATTTTCTGAAGATTGAAACATCTAAAAATAATGAAAATATTATCGAAGATCAATATGTACATCCTAAAATCTAAAACTCACTGAAGCTTTAACCGATTGACCAATTGATCTACAATTGGATGACGAACGAACTTGATATAGGAAATTATTTTCTTCGAGATATTGCCAAGAAACATCAATAGGAAATTCTAGATAAGGATCAATAGTTCGTTCAATATTAGAAAATATAAAATATGTATAAAAATTTGCAATTCGTAAATATTCGAATCCAGCAACAAAACGAAATGCGTCTCGGATTGAATGAATGTAATTTCGATATAAAATTTGTTCAATAAATGGAAACATTCCAACAATTTCTTTGACAATATAGTTTTTATTTTCATAACTAAGATTTATATCAAGATGACGAATTTGTTCGAATCGATACGATCTCATGTATTTAACTGTATCCATTGTTAGTTCATTTAAAACTGTTAATTTACATGTACAAGGCAATGATCGTTCAAATGGCATAAGTTTTAGTAGATCAACCAATGATAATATACATAAATGTTTCACTTGTTGTAAATCAATAACACATCTTAGCTCTTCGGTTGAAATCGAGGTTCGAAGATCCAATACTTCGATATGTGTGTATCGAATTTTATTGTCAATAGGAACTCCTTCGACAGTGAGTTTTGTTATATTCTCATTGGCATATTTTATATCAGGTGCTGTAGAATATAAATGTGTATAAGAAGATATGCTAACATGATTTGGTGCCGTAAGAGGTACTGAAAATATACAATTATTCTGATATGTGACAAACCAACATTTTTCTTCGAGCCAATACGATGTACGAAATGAATGAAGAATTCGTTTATTTAAGTCAAAATTAGTATTGAATTTGAAAATGAATGTTATAAGATTTTTAGTTAAATTTTGCCAGCGTTGCCCATCGACAAGATTTCTACCACTGGCGTGTAGTTCGAGATGTTGGAGATACGGAAAATTCTGTAGTAATCGTTCCATTTGGTTCATTGATACTAAATAATCTATGAAATAGATAAACATGTAAATCTATTTTATTGCAGTAAAAATTGATTTTTTCTAAGTTAAAAGAGTTAGCATTTGAATATCTGAATAATACAATGAAACAATCATGTGCATGTTAACTAGTTTTAATAAACCCTAAAATTTTCATTCCATAGCAATCAATCAGTAGTTCCGTTTTTTTTTACAAATGAATGAAACCAAGCATTCAAGTATCATGAGAGTTTCTGAGAATATTAAATGTGAAACACAATTTAGCTTTGGTTACCGGGCGCGCCTAGAGAGCATCAGCAAGGATTAGCAACTGATTCAAAAGAATTATTGAATAAGATATAATATAAAGTTGAACCCAACTTAAGTTCTTCCATCGACTATGACAGACAAACGTGCTATGCCTATAAACTACTCATATCTGATTAGAATATGAATCATCTCTTGATTAAAGTTTTAGCAATTTAAATACTTAGCAATGAAGATATATGTCTTTAAAACGATTGAATCAAAAAGAATTTTTCTATAAACATTAGCTATATCAGATTTTACATTTGAACCTCTTAGATATTTTTTGAAATTAATATTGGTTTTACTATCATGTTAGTCGTAAAGTTTGATATAGCTTACTATCAATGGATATATTTAAGCGATTTAATCGAGATAATGATAGAATGACTTGAGAAAATGGTTTATCAATTTGTAGAGAAACATCGACTGATCTAAGATTTGGTGCATGTTGAAAAATTCTTTCCAATTGATGAGGTGAACATTTCTTGAGTTTTAAATGATGAAGACGAGGCAGTGAGATTGATTCTAAAGCACTGCTGTTATTTAAATGTATATAGTTTAGTCGAGGTAATATTTGTGGAAGTACACGAGATAAAAATAATTTTAATTGATTGAGTTTTCTTGGAAAATCAACATTTAATGTTCCATATCTGTGTCTGATGTTTTTAATATCAAATGAGAGAGAACGTAATTGTGGTAGATTTTGTAAGTCGTCGAAGATGGGTTCTATTAATTCATATTCAATATCAATTAATATGATTGATCGCAGTTGAATGAATTGTTCAAGTCGAAACAAAGATAATAAATATACAGAAAGATGAGATCCATCATTACCACGGGATAATGTCAATGAAACGACTTTTTCAGGTCGAATTCGTTGAAAAATTAATTTCAATTGACCATTGTCTATTGATTTCAAATCCAATCGATATTCACAATAGGAGAGAAGAGCAGCACTGACATAATCACTAACATCAGAAAAACTACTAAGAATTTCGTGTGCGAGAAAATACTTAAATAATATATGTATAAGTTCGACGGGTAATAGATCGAAGAAACAAACACACTGCATAACTTGAAATTTTCTTTGAAAATGACGAGTAAATTCGAATGAAGGTTAAAAAGTTAAATAAGCAATAAGATAAATTGAGGAAAAAAATACATTGACGATCATGACAATTTACTGAGAAAATATGTATTGCCGTCAGCTGATTTTATATTTATCCTGTATCGTTGCAACGTTGGCCTTGTCAATTTACTCGAGTCTTGATCAAGAAAAAATGAATCGAAGAGTAAAGAGAAGAAAAATAATTCATCTGCTCTTGTCATAAACCCTGTCTCGTGTTAGTAATCAGTACATACTTGATTAAAAACAAAAAATAAAATGTTACAATCAGATGCTTTGTATCATATCTAGGTGTTATACATTTAACAAATGACCCATATAGTGCAAGAAATGCAAATGTGTGCACTAGAGCGTATGATGCCTAAATAACTAATATTATGAATTATGATTTCTATCGTGTCTGGTCGGATAAACAGCAAGTCATTAGTTTGTACGTAACGTTTGAAAAAATGTATAATATCACATGAAGCTTTTTTCTTTTTTTATTTATAGTGACGTAAATGCATTGATTTATTTTGATTTATGTATCACTGATCATTGTCACGATAAGAAAATCGTAATAAATGATAGATAAACCAACGTTACCTTGCTGAAGTTGGAATATATATTGCTGTCAGTGTATGCATTGTGATCGTTAATAATATAGAACAGCTGCAAACATTATACAATAACAATATCAGTGTGAAGCTAGCACGACGGAGCTAGCACGATGAAACAGAGATTCAGTTATAAGTCTTCTCAGAAGTATTGCCGGTCCATAGAAAACAGACCATTCGATCCAGAATTTAATTCTGGATCGGATGGGGATACTTTTATTCCCCAGCAATACTTAGGAAGAAATTTTACTTACACCTTTGCTTTCTTCTAAATAGGACAAGAAAAACCAGATAGAATTTTCTCAAAGTATTGCTGGAGAATAAAAGTATCACCATCCGATCCAGAATCAAATTCTGCATCGAACGGTCTGGTTTTTATTGGCCGGCAATACTTCCGAGAAGACTTATAGTTGAATCTCTGTTTCATTGTGCTAGCTTCACACTGATAATGACAATCGTATTATTATCATTACAGTTAAAATATGTACTTCGATCTATTGTATACTCAATTTACGAAATATGATTCAGACTATTTTTCTATCTATATCGTGTGATCATACATGATAATAGTAGATTTGCATCATCGAAACACAATTTCATCAAAAGTTAATACAACCGCAACATGCAATTTTTTAACTACTTCAGTTAATAAAATAGCAGAAAACAATCATATATATATCATCAAAAAACAACTTTCCTTGGCAATAATTTACTAAAACATTCATGAGTACAATAGTCTTACCAAGTATATATCTATTGAAGTTTACGAGCTGTCACAAGCCTAATAGCTTTTTAATTAATACAAATCTTCATTTTTCGCTCGAATGAAAAGACAATGATTTCAATTTTTATTGATAAAATCAACTATAACAAAGTTTTAGATTCTTGTTCAACATATCATTGTATTGTTTCGAAGAATGACAATAAAGATTGCTAAAATTGATGTAAATATATTTTTTTAATGCCAAAAAACACGAAATAAAGCTTACATCATCAATTAGCCATATATGAACAAATGAAAACGTATTTTGATTCGATGAATGAACAACCTGACAACTGTATTTTTTATCAATAGTCATTTTTAATCTTTTACAATTTTTTTCTTTTTCTTTTTTCAGCAATGAATTCATTCCGAGCGATGCATTTACTAGATATGGTAATTGTTGAATAAAAACAATGATATCATTTGTTGAATTAATAAGCGATACATTTAAATATTTAATACAAGGAAAATGTTGGCATAACATTTTCGTAATAGATTCTTTCTCGAAATAACAAAAATGCAAATTAAGAGTTCGTATTTGTTCGATAATATTATCTTGTAAATGTTCGATTAAAATTGGAACTAAACGTCCTGCAATTGTTAATTCATCGAGAAGTGGCATCACAGGTAACATCAATAGAAGCATCGCTATACTAGAACTTGATGATAAAATCAAGTGTTTAACATTATTCAAACTAATTGCATTGAACATTCTTTCCATTCGAACTGAACAATTCATTTTTAGAACTTTTATATTAGGAAAATACTGATTTGGATTAAAGATTTCTGTTAATACTGTCAATTCAGTAATATGTTGATGGAGAATCGTATTGCTCGATAAGTTTGACATATCGAATGATTGGCCATTGGTATTATATTTTACTGGGGCAAAACGAGGAATAGTACATAGATCTCCGTTAAAATAAACTACAAACCATTTTTTTTCTTCAAGCCAAAATGGTGTTCGAAATGAATTCAAATTTTCCAATAAAAATCGTATTTTGAACTTAAAGTTAAATGTAACAAGTGATTTTGTCAAATTCGCCCATCGTGTCCCATCGTCCAAGCTATTCCAAAGATCGCTTTCCAATTCGAAATGTTTTAGTTGAACTAAATGAGGTAGAAAATCCTTCACTAAGTTCGTCAATAACGATTTATTTTTCCATCCTACATAGAGGAAAATTTAGTTTCAATAGAAAAACAAAAGAAAATTTGCTTACCATCCATTTTCAAACGAAGCTGAGTCAATGCTGATAATTGAGAAATATCTAGCATAGTTATTGAATCACCTTGTAAACAAACATCTAAAGACTTCAATATTGACAATTCCGAACAAATCCTTGACAATTCCTTTGTTGAACATTCGGAGATTTTTAAATGACGAAGGCGAGCAAATGGTTTTAATGTCATTTCTTGAATGTTAAATAAAGTTAATTGTGTTAATTGTGATAAGAAATTTGTACAAGCATTCGATAGAAGATTTTTCATTGCTACAAATCGTAGTCTATAGTCTTTGTCGATACTACGATAATATTCTGTAGTAACCAATGAGAATGAACGTAAACGATGAAGATTATTTAAATTTGAAATGATAATTTCAAAAAAGTTATTTTCTAAGTTAATCAATGTCAATGATCGAAGCTGTGTAAATTGTTCAATATGGAAATACGAAAAGAAAAGTTCTGATTGACCGCTTCTATCGATATCATCAGAAAGTGTAAGTGACAGGATTTGATCAGGTTTTATGTGACGACAAATAAAGTCAACATGATATGGTAGACACAATTTTAAATTAACTCTAGTGATAGGATAACGCAAAAGAACAGCATTGATATAATCACTAATATTAAAAAAAGTTCGATAAAGTTCAGGAACAGGTATATAATTAAATAGTGTGTGTATTATTTCAACGGGAAATTGATCCAAAAATAAACACGAAGTCATAATAAAGATTTTGAATAATAAACTATTTGTATCTTAAGCAAAACTTGTGGCAAACAATATAGAAAGATAAAACACATTGCTTATCTTGCTGTTACATGTGGCCTTAACATTTATGACTCACCGTTGAAATTTTTTTCAAAGTCAGTCCAACGAAAATGATAGCGTTTTGTTCATTCATTTTTTGAAGCACTGAGAGTACCACGAAGATGCTCGATAGCCGATGAGATCGGTTTCTACATAAATAAATGCGGAAACATCGGATTTGCATCCGATTGTTATGTGTACTTCAAAAAGCGAAAATGTACATCCATTTTTTTCTATAAGGCATAGATCTCATCAAGATACATCCCTTCTCACTAANTCTTCGAACTCGACTGAGACATTGATGAGACTGAACTGTGTAGAAAATTTCATCATGATCTAACTCTCCTTTCGAAAGTTATTGTGTAAACGGACGGCCGGACGGACACACTGACCGATTCAAGAGTGTACTCACTTTTTGAGTACACAATAATCTCACTCAATCTACACTAGAAAGATTGCGTATAGAAGTACACCGAACTTATTTGTTTGTATTATGTTATGACTAGTTGAAATAGTTAACTATCCACAGATATCTACTAAAACCAGCTCTTTTAATCTAGAATTCATATGGGTTGATAATATTTCCCAATCGCTACAAAAAGCGTCTATGAAAAACTACCAACCACTATAAAAAGCTCAAATGACATGATTATCAAGACTTGATTTTTATCATGTATTGCTCCGTTAACTAGTGCATTTCAATCAGAGAATTATGATTTCGATTAAAACTCGTAACAGATCGTAATTCAACAGGCAAACCTATCTTAGTTAACTAAATATACATTATTTATATTTTTGTTAGTGTTTTTTTTTCGGTTGGAAAATTTATGAATGATGTCACTTAGAGTGAGCGTTGAAAATAAATATCTTATACTGCGCTTTAAGTATTTATTTATCTGTAATTTTGAGTTCTATTATTGCTTCATAGTTAGCTTTGGAGCGTGATCACCGATAAAACGAGAACTTCGTTTGATAAGATACATTTGTCGAACTCAACTCAGAGTAATAGAGTGAGAAGGTAGACGTGAATCTCACCTAAAAACGTAAGGCAAGAGTGGTAGAAAACATAGCATAAGCTTCTAACTAGTGGTAATATCTATCAGCGTACTGAAAATCTTTTTCATCAGCATGACGGCCAGTGTATTTGAGTTTTGATGAACACGAATTGCAACCTAATAGACAACGTTAACACATTAGTTAAATAATACAATTGACCACCTTTTATAAAGATAGAGCTTATCAACCAGTCAATTATATTTCAGTACCTAGGTTGCATTTTTTTTTAATGGTTTTATTTGTATGATTAGTATTTTCCAAAGGAATAAAAATATTTTTAAGCATTGAAATTGCTTTCTAACTAACTTATCCTGTACAAAACCAAGAGGCAAAAAGCTGACCTTATGTTTATATAATCATTGGAATCAGGCAGAATCAATAGAATGAGATGTTTTACCCTTGTCATTTATGTATATTATCTTGAATGGATATCAATTATTGGAACCAGAAATTCTCAAGTGAGATCTTCTCAGTTTGACTCTCACTAAGCGAAGCTATTACATATATGATTTACATTTACTATTGCATAAACAAGATTTTAATGAGATAGATTAAAATTTACTTAAAATTATTATTTGAGCACTAGGCTAAAGAAGTTTGTTTGTAGCATTAAAAATCGACTAATTCGAACGTATAAAATACATTATGCTAAAGAGGTGAGACGGAAACGACGCATATAATTACGTTATCACTCGACCGTAAGATGATCTTTAAATATAAATACTTTTGAAAAAAACGAAATATGACCTTCTATATCAATATGTAGCATCATACTTACAAGGTAGGAAAATTATTCGCTTTTTCAATCCTAAATTCGTTTGTTTTTCAGTCTACTAGTGTATTGAGATTGATCCTGGCCAACATCTAATAGATGAGAATACCCAGTGTCAATAGAATTAGAAACCGTGATAATAGCATGGTACCTACTCAAGATGAATACAAGAACGGTTGAATTTAAAAAAAAAGTACGCGTTCAAAGTAATCGCCACGTTAGCAGTCGATCGGACGACAACGCCGATTCAATTTCAATCATATGCATTTTTAATATGACTTTAACAGTTTCTCTTGATTGTACTCACAGCCTTAGTAATTTAATATATTTTTTCCGGAATCATTCTCTTTTTAATAGTTTGAACAAAAGCAAAAACTACATAAAAAGAAGATGAAATATTAATATATAAACTAACTGTATTCACGATATGTTGCTAATATTGTTCTTTCTACAAAAAAATAAAATTTGAATACATAATTATTGCTTTCAATAATCTCTATATAGTGTAGGGGAAAATCTAAGATGAATGTTTTTTATGTGCATGTTTTCCAGGTGACCATCCATGTTTTGTGAGATGAGCTTCACCTGCATTTATTGCTCCTGGTTCAATGCTGGTACCCATTGAATCATTCCAACGATTCAGATATCCAAATAAACCAATCACACCTAAAATTTCCACGATCTCACCCTCATCCCAATGCTGACGTAGATTTTCAATAATACCACTGTTAACAGCATTAGGAACTGTAGAAGCAGCTACGGCAAAATCAAGAGCTGCTCGTTCGGCAGTACTGAAAGCAGGATGAGTAGAATATTGACATATATACGCCAGTTGTTCTGCAGTAGCTCCATAACGTTCGGCTGCTAGGATGGTATGTGCTTGACAATATTGACAACCTGCTTTCGAACTAGAAACATAACCGATAAGACGTTTTAAAGCACTAGTAACGCGACCCTGATTATTCATGACTGCTTTGTTTAGCTGAATAAAAGCGGTGGCAATAGCTGGCCGATGCTGCATAGTCAGTACACTGTTTGGACAAAAGCCTAATGTCTCATTGAAAAAGGTAGCTAGTTCTGCTACTTCATCATTCGCATTTGATGGTAATGGAGACACGAGTGGTAGTGACATTGCAATACGTGCAATATGATCTGGAATTTAAAAAATGACTGTAGAATAAGCGGAATCACTTATACACATCTTACACAACGATCTTTCAATGCGTATTCTATATGTTAAATTTTTATTAAAAAATACAGGTGGAGAAGAAAGATTGCAATATTCTAATGCAAAATAGATATCAACCTAATAATATCACAAGCAGAAAAATAACTTCAGAGTTGTTGTTTTCTCTCTTATCATTTTTATTTACCAAAAATTCTTCTCGTGACAAGTAGATCCGATACTGATACGTTTAGCTAGAAAATTGTGGCATGCATTTAATGTAATATCTAAAAATATAGCAATCCATATCTAAATTATATCAATATTACCTAACTCAATACAGTAGTATCTATTCTGGCGAAAGGATACCTTTAAAAAAATTGTTTAATCTAATTTTATAATTCAACATCTTTTAAAGCAATTAAATATCTGAATTAAAAAATGTTCTGTCTTTTAATTCAATATATTATCACTTTTAACAATTGGCTATCAATGAATTTATCGACTTATCTAATTCATTTGAACGTAATCTATAATTGATAAGTATTTATCAATTAATTGAAAGAGTACATATGAGCTGGGAATGACAATAAGTGATAAGAAAAAAGTTGGTTTGAAAAATATCTTGGGTGGAGTGTGGATGTGAAGGGAGATAAGGACATCCATACCCACCCACGCTCACACTCACAGCCACGAAACTTCTAAAATAACAGATTTCAAAAGATTCAAAAGTTAGAAAGTATCTGCATTCTGACTTCTTCGGTGCCTTCCCAAATAATGTAGTTTTCTTTTTCGTAAATCTGCACACATCATAGCGATTTCAATGACAAAAACTGCAAATTGTAGAGCTAGTTTCTTTTCAAGTAAATCTATTATTAAAGAAGCCAATAAAAGAAATATGTATGTATACGATATTTACTATAGTTGTCATATAGATATAACTTATCTTTGTATGTCAGCATTTTTCTTGTTGCATGTGTATTACTCGGCAAATTTTCATATTCTTCATAATTGTTAACGCATATTCGTACGTTAGACACAATTTGTATGCCGAATAGTATGCTACTTGTTCTTATTCAAGTGCTAGTCTTATGCTCTTGCGTATCAGTTGTGTCAAGTACAATTAGCCCTTGTGCAAAATGGAATACAACAGGCTCAACAGTGGCTGGAACTGGAGACGCTGGTAATTCTAGTTATCAGATCAATTCAGCAAAAGGAATTTTCATTCATAAAGAAAGGAATGAACTATATGTTGCTGATTTTAGTAACAATCGTGTCCAAAGATTTTCACTTAATGATCCATCAAAGATGGGTACTACTGTTGCATCGAACATAGAAAATCCAATGAAAGTCTATGTTGATGATGATATTAATGGGCCCACAGTATATGTTTCACTTCGATTTTTGAATCGTGTTGAAAAATGGACCTATGGAGCGAGACAAGGTGTTCAAGTTGGTAATGACTGCCAATTATGTTGCGGTGTGTCCGTGGATAAAGAGAAAAATGTTTATATGTCCGAGTCCAATAGACATCGTGTTCTTCAATGGTCACCTCGAACAAATATCACAAATATTGTTGCTGGAAATACGGATACTAATGGCTCAAAAAGTACGCTACTTGATCATCCTCAAGGAATTTATGTCAATAGAGATGGAGGTGTCGTCTATGTAGCTGATATGTGGAATAGCCGAATTCAAAGTTGGATACAAGGTTCGGACGAAGGAGTTACTGTAGCTGGATCCAGTAAAGGTACTGAAGGCCATGATCCTGAAACATTAGATTTTCCAAATGACATGATTGTTGATGATGAAACCAATATTGTTTATGTTATTGATACATCAAATAATCGAGTTCAGAGATGGAAACCCTTTGCATCGGAAGGTGATACAATTGCTGGTGATATGAGTATGTGTTTTTTGAAATATTTTTTGTCTGTTTTTTACATATATCGCTTCTGTTTCATAATAATAGTTAATTCATTTTTTTCATGACAGGTGCTGGTAATGCAACTTATCAATTAAGTAAACCAGCTGGTTTAGGATTCGACATGAAGGGAAATCTTTATGTAATGGATATGGAAAATAATCGTGTGCAAATGTTTGAATTGATTGATAATCGACCTTGTTCTTTGAGATTAGAATGTAATGAAAAACTTTGCTAGTATCCAGAACTATATATTTTTTTGTTTTCTGTATAATTTTAGCAAATGGCTCATCGAAACTTGGGTAGGCCAAATAATACAATTGTATTTACTACATTGCTAATATTATAGATACATTTTAATCACAATTATACTGTGGATCATATCAATTGAACTCATGCGATACTAATGCATGACTAATGACTAAGCCTATTTCATTGTGCTGTCTTTCAAAAACAAAAAAATACACGCACAAAGTGTAATTGCTAAAAGTTTTCTTTTTTTTCCCATGTGCATAATTATTTCTTTTAATCTCACGCAGAGAAAACATAATCATAGAATTACCTATATGGCTACAAGCAGAATTTCATAACATATAGATTATATAGTTTACATCTACAAGTAAGTAACGATCAATACCAACACTTCAGGCAGAAATATATGTAGGCCTCTTTATATTTTCTGAATTCAACGGTTATCATGCTTATCTTCGAAAACGAGTTGTGCATCAAATAATTTTTTGAAATTATTTAAACCAAACATGTTTTAATAATGGAGAAAGTTCCGGTTCACAGAACCTCAGTACCTAATAGGTTTCAAAGACTGAAAAATTACCAAAATGGAGCTGAGGTGTTTGGAATCAACACTGTTCTACTTGCATTTAAACACTAGAACTCTTTTTTTAAGAAGAGATGGGAACTGTACGTATTTGTTCTATCCAGAAAATCTTGAGATCAATTCTAATCATCATTAATATGATTAGGAAATATCTCATACTTAGTCACTATTTCATTATATCCAGGGCAATCATGCAGCCCATCTGACACTGCCATAAAACGGTAGAGTAAAGCATTCATTTTAATATTGTTTCGTTGTAATTCGTTAACCCGTTCTATGGACCGTTTTTCACCTGAAAGCATCTATCGTTTTTAACACTATCTGTGCCGTTTCCCAAGTTAACGCTCATAATATATTGTGCAACTGAAAAATTCATGTAGTATTTATACGTTCTATAACTTTCTCTACTTGAAATACAGATTGTTCGTTCTCAGATGATACATTAGTCCGACCTAAAAGCATCGCATAATTGTGAAGATTACTTTATATTTTTTCTATCTGAAGATGATACTCAAAGTTGCAAAAAAAGTACATTAGTAGATCTTCGAAATTGATCTTGTCTTCAGAGATGGGCAAGTCAGCGTTTTTTCGACTCAAGTCAAGTCAAGTCAGTTTCTGAAAATTTCAAATAAAGTCAAGTCAAGTTATGGCTAGTTTAAAATATTTTCAAGTCAAGTCAAGTCAAGTCTGATTTCAAGTCAAGTCAGACGTTTTCGGGTCAAATCAATTTGAGTCATAATTCATTCAAAAAATCATCAGGTGAAGTCATTTTTTGACTTGACTTGCCCATCTTTGATTTATTATTTGTATTTTTCTTCTACATTTCAAATTAGAGTTCAAAAATTCAATTAATAAAAGTTCTCTATACATATAATTTTTGACTTGACTTGAATTTCTCTGTACGACTTGTTGCAAGTCAAGTCAAGTCAAGTCAGACTTGACTTGGCTTGACCCGTTTCAAGTCATTTTTTGACTTGACTTTCCAATCTCTGCTTGTCTTTATTCAATATGAACGTGAGACTCACGTAGGAACATCTAAATTCATTATATGTAAGCTCACAAATAAAAATACAGAAAGAAATTAATGAATAAAGGCAATGGACCCTATATGAATTATTCTATATATGAAAAATAAATGTCTTTTTCAAATTTTATCAATCTACATAGAACGAAGTCTCAAGATAAATGGCAAATAGAACATCCACATCAAATATATGAATAATAGTGTCATTAATTCAAAACTACATTAATGGAATTATTATATAACACATGTTCTAGTGGAATGTGCAATGAGCCATGGCCTTTACAAAATGCTTTTTTGTTTTATTAACCTAGCCGATACCTTGATAAATAGGTAACTTATTCAATTTATGATGCTACCTCAGATTCTTGATTACTTCAAATGAATTTTATCGAAAAGTATTATCCTTCAAATTTTCGTGAATACATGGAAAATGAGTTGCTCTGTGTATAACATGAATGTACTATAAGATCAATGTAAGCAGTGGCAAAGAAAAACTGGCAAAACGAACATACACCTCCGTCATGGGCATTGTTAGCAGACCTAAAACAAAACAATCATTTTTCTTGTAGATTAGATAAAAGGCAACAGTAAATTTATGAAATTATTACAGAAGAAATCAGTCATTGATTTATTATCACCTGAACAAAGGAAGTTTTCTTCGAAACTTAGTAATTTTTCTGCTGTTAACAAATCAACTTAATCATTAAGAAAACGATATATCATTATATATTGATATTAAATATATGAGTTTATCATCTAAATACGTAGCTACATGAAACGGTCAAAATTCACCCACGACATTATTGGCATAATCCAAACATCCGCAATACAGTGTTTAGATTAATTTGTAATAAAATCCAGTGTAATTTTGTGAAAATTAAGAGAAAATAAAATAATTAACAGGAAACCAATAGAATCTGTGAATTCTTTGATTTACACTACTATCTAATTTTCGATATAGCTTTTTATACAGTGTAATGGCATGCATATGCTGTAACATTAAAAATATACTAAATGCATAAAATTTGTTCTTTTATCGCATGAAGGAGTTTCTACTTTACGAGAGTATTCCTGCCAGTTCTCTCTCCAATAACAGCGATAGTTTGCAGGTGCTGAAAGATCGAACTGGAGCTCTCATGTCTTAGCATTTGCGTAGCAAGAACACACCTTCTCTAGATTGATCAGATCCATAACATATGTGACAAATGATACTATGTCTGTGTGTCCATACGCTTAAAGCTCAATATGACTTCACTAGTGTAGCTCTTGCAAGGATACACCCTCAAGTAATAAAGTGAATAAAAACTCTTTTTAATTCTTTCGATTTCTTCGCAAGAAAGTCTTTGAACTTCGGCTCCTACTCCTTTGCGCTACCAACCATAATCACAGTGAACTTTTTGATGGCAACTTTAGCAGTGTTCAGAGTTCAAAAAAAAATAAATTACGGAAAATTTGGAAATTTTGCGCCTGATATCCCCGAAACTTTGTTATTACAAAAAATTTGATAATGTCCGAAATTGCCAACTTCCGCAATTCCCAGTTTTCGAAATTTTTGAAATTTTCAAAATTTCTCTGCCCTTCAAAATCTCGGAAAATACTTTTCTTTGACTTCACTTGATTTTGAAGATAATGGAAATTTCTGTAGTTTCCTTTCTCGGAAATATGAACATAGCTCAGCTGCTTTTGTATCTGCTGCTAAATTAAATGCAGGACATGTTATTCGTCCATTGAATTTACTTAATCGCTTTCTTCTGGAACAATATCATCACCAGCAAAGCCACTTTGTGCAACCAAACGGCCAAGTTTGAATAGCTTTAGCTACATTTTCCAATGGTCCTCCACAGATTAAAATCGTTCTCTCATCGCAATACTTTAAAAGAACATCGCTACCGTCAAGAGCTTCTCTTGATTCTTTTATCGATGTATTTGGATATAGTTTAAGATGAAATTTCGATAAAGCAGGTTTAGCATTTATATTAAATATACCAAGAGGTAAATCGCTTCGACCAAAACGATCAAGAACATAACGTAAAAAACTAATTTGATCAGGAGTTTCAGGTACAATTGTAATAGCTTTTTAATTTACCATCGGATGTCCAAGAAGAAAAAGAAGATTAGTCAAATCATCTGGATCACTAGTCTCCATATCGAATACTACTTGTAGACGTGTACCAATTAGAAACTCATCGGTATTGAACATTGTTGAATTTGATCGATTGATTAGCTCAGCGGTTGCCATCGTGTCAAAGTACAAATAAATTGTATTATTACTGTGTAACAAACAATTACACCAGTATTACGAAATTTCCAATGTTATAAAAATGTAACCATAGGCTACCTAATAGAAAATATTTCATCATAATTAAGGCTTTCTTTTCCTTACACGTTTGATTGTTTAGCATTCTGTCGTTTTTTTCTCTGCGCATTATGTGACTCATTGTAGAAGTGAGCAAAGAATTGCAATATAATCAAATATCTCACGTGCTATTCTATTGGCAAATAAACGAACCTTATAAAATATCTATAAAAGAAGCAGGATTCATTGATTGCTTATTTAAAATAGTACTAAGATGAATCTATACCCAGTAGTGTATGAGTTAACATTCAAAATTCTGATCTGAAACACATTTGCTAACAAATTATCTTGGAATCATTACTTAGTTCATATGTTTCTTCATAACATTTTTGGTTATCCTAAATGCTACCGATATTTGAATAAATCACAGCACGATCTGAATGTGTCGATGATAACTCTCATTCTAGTCAATAACTTATAGATTTATTCAACATGGATAATGACTTAAGCTCAGATTGCTCTTTATGCAAACACCTATATTATTAAAATTGTAACTAATTTTTTATTGTATCTGAAGTGAATTATGTAAGAGCTAGATTAATAGTTTTTTATGATTAATAAATGCTCAACGCAAATCATTTCAGTTTCTGGTATAATATGTGATTCTAGATTGTTTGTTTTCCAATACTGATGGAGATCATTTCTTGAGTATTTGATTTTGTCAATGTTAATATCTTTTTGATGATGTAAATCTGTTGCTTTTGTTAGTTTCATTGAATAGGGTTTCATCCGTAAAAGTATAGGTCTTATCTTTTTCGAAAAAAAAAGAGAAGAAAAAAGCAATTTTGTTAATATACACAACCAATTTATAGTGTATTCATGTTTGATCTTCAACAGTATGTTGAATTTATTCAATCAATTGATCGAGAAAAATTCTTCGTAATTATATGAGACTCAAGAACATTCATAATTCTATATATCAAACTTCTTCTTTTCATGAAATTGATTCAATGTTTATCTATTTAATCAAAAGTAAATGCGAAAACCTCGGATTTAAATCCGAGTGTTATGTGTACTTCAAAAAGTGAAAAGGTATATTATCTTTTTTTTTTCTATAAGACATAGATCTCATCAAGATAATCCCTTGTCACTAAATTGCAAGGAGAAAATACAGGCGTGCTAAGTTAGCATGGACCACACTGTATGCGACCATATCCGGTGACCACTGACTCTACTCTTAGAGTGATATAATATCTTTAGAAATCACAGAAATTAAGTTCAGATTCGTGTTTAGCTTGGAAAACTGGGCAAGAAGAGTTATTTTTGAATGGATTTGCGCTTGTATCTAGCGGGATTACGATCGTAAGGAACCTCATGAATCTATAAGAGATATATGATAGATACAGGCATCAGTATTCTCCTAATAAATCACCAATATTAATAGCTATCGAGTTCGGGTTTTTACCTTTCGATAGTCCTTTTGACTAGCTACAAAACCAGGCATTTGAGAAACCCCAAAACTACTGGTCATCTGAAATATATTTAGCCAATTTGGTTTCTGGATGCAGTTTTTGTGCATTTTTTAGACCTTTTTCAGGCGATATTTTGTTAGAAAGCTACGATTTGGTTCAAAATTAATATCAGATTCGGAATCAGCGTTAAAAACTGAGTCGATTTATATGTGTTGTGAATAATTCTAAGAAAAATTGTTTTTTTGAAAAATCCCTGTACCCCCCCTCAGGGTTGGATTGGTCAATAATGACAATTTTTTCGATAACTCAACCATTTCTTGGCGGATCCTTCTCATCTTCGAACTCGACTGAGACATTGATGAGACTGAACTGTGTAGAAAATTTCATCATGATCTAACTCTCCTTTCGAAAGTTATTGTGTAAACGGACGGCCGGACGGACACGCTGACCGATTCTAGAGTGTACTCACTTTTTTGAGTACACAAAAAGAACGATATACAGATTTTTAAACGAAGATACAATTATTATTTAAGCTTATGTTACTCTTGACGATTTCAGTTAATTCATCAAAAGAGCAAATCGATCTTGTTGTAACAGACTAATGCAAATATGTTCATTTACGATGAAACTGACTAATAGAGTGAATCGCTTAACTATTCTTTTTCATATTCATTGTGATATAAAACAAATTAATAAGAATTCTACGTCTGCTAATATTAGTAACGTTAGAAAAACTCCGCGCTTCTATTGTTTTCAGAAGATTATTATGTGATTTAGGTGAATATGATAAATCACAGAAGTATTCTATATTGGATATTTGACAGTAGCGCAACGTTCAAAATTAAGCAATTCGCTATTAGGTAGTCAATGTCGAGTTCTTTTAGTTCACTTGATAAATCGTTCACACATAATCAATCTTGTCAACAACATGTCAAATTTGAGAGCAGTGACTTTTCAATGTGGAGACAATATGAAGATTCGTAATGGATCATTGTCAGATGCAAATGAACTTGTAGTCTGGCTACAAAATTGTCTACGCTCGACATTCTCTATTTGAATAGAACCAACTTCGTTTAAGACGATCCAATTATGGACTTGAGGATGAAATAAGTTCTAACATCGATAGATGTGAGATTCAGTCAAATTTGTGAACCCACATTTCGACAGTCATCTACTCTCATATTATTCTCCGTTATAGGCGAGAGAGAGAGAGAGCAGCAACAACCGAGGGACATATATGGTCTACAGTTGTTCAATACCTCTCTAAGAGACTGATGTAATTGGTCACCTATACGGTATGTTACTATTGGTGGTTGTATTTTCGTAATAAATAACTGTGTCTAACTTTTATGATACTTCATTATATGTTTCATCTTCAAAAGTGTGCTATTAGCAAGCAATCAACAGTTTGTTTTTTTCTGAAAAATGTCTGCCTTCACGGTATGGATTTTTGAGTTTATCAAGACATATATCTTTTAAACCACATCATGATTTATCATGTGCAAGATCATTTCTTTCAATAAACTTTGATCAGGATTGTTAAGCTTTACATTGCTTTATAATTCGTTTCGCTGCATTGAAAAGCATAAAGACCGAAATATTTAACTTGATAGAAAACTCATCAATTCAAAGTGCAGGTTGTTCTTGATTCTCATGGGCAGTTCTGTTTCAGTTACAATCTATTCACAACATCAGGAAAGTATTCGCAATTCAAATTATCAGCAGAAGATTTTCATAATATCTGCATAATTCAAATCGAACGATGTGCTCGCTTATTAAGACAGAAGATCACTAAAAATGACAGCACGAAGAAGAATCATTATTTTTTTGTATGTTAATAACTTTCTCCAGTATAGCTTTGTATTATAATTATTATGAAGCATTTTTGATATATTTTGCAGAATCCTACATAATATCCTGCGACGTGTTTTTCATCTATTATTAGTAATTTGAAATATTATGTTTAAATATTTTTTCTGTAACTATTGAGTTTGCACCGTATTTTACTCAGTAGATAATAAATCCAATCAAGAAATGCTAAAAGGCAGTCGAATTTTAAAAAAAGTATTGATTAAAGGGACGCGACTCTCAGCTCAAAAGTCATGCTGTCCAGTCATTTCAGTTGAAACAGCTACATTCAAATTGACGTATTCTTTTTATATTGGTTAAATAGTACAAATACATTCAATCAGTCATATATGAAACCATACAGCGCAGTGAAATCGTTTAACATAGACATTTATTTATTTTCTCGTAGCAAAATAGTTAATATATTGATCTAGCGGTGATGTTTAATGGAACAGCGTCATTTTCATTAGTGTTTGCATGAAAGTATGTTCGATTCTGTTTCATTTGTTTGATCTATCTACGTTTTAAATTAGTTCGTCTAGATGAATATAAATGCATTGATTTAAGCCGAATTCTGAGAGTGAATATATTCTAGGTAAGCTCTGTTACTTTAAACAAAGATAACGTTTCAAGATGTTCGACTTTTTGACAACACGTCGAGCTAATCGATATTTTATTGTTGCTGATAAACAACAACCATCGAGTTTCATATTTCTTCGTCATTGTTGATGTTTTGATAATTTTTTTAATATAAAGGAAATAAAAAAAGAATAAGTAACTACTCGTATTAAAATTATGTTTAGAAAGGAGAAAAACATTGCTTTTAATATATTAAAAAGCTAACTGTAAAAAATGGCTCAATAACGGTACCTGCTTTTGATTAGTTTCAATAGAGTTAGTTGGAGTTGTACTAGGACAATCATGTGTTGGGTTAAAAAATATTTGTCAAAACATGAACTAAGATCTTGAACCAATGCTCTCTTTCTTCTAAAATGAATCATTTGCATATGTTTCATGCAAAATCGAACTTGGCAAAATCTCAGTAGCTATTTTGAATTGTGAGCGCCTCAGCGCCTTTGTAAACACATTAATATTCAAATATTTCGGTGCAACATCGCCAACAGCAACTCATATTCTCGGATTTTTAGTTAAATAGTGATAATTTTATGCAAACTGAATATATCCGCAGCCTGATTGACAGGTAAAACACACTTGTGTCTTGTTGTTTCTATCTCAGTGCGTCAGCAAACTGAATACCAACATTGGGTGTTATATTAGATCCGGTCCACACTTGCGAAGCAAATTTTAAGCCCATACATTTCCCTGAAACCTATATCTATATCGTCATTTACGCTCGCATTATTTCTAATGTTTACATGGCAGTCATCATTTTTTCTCATATATTTGAGTGTATTCTGTTGTTGATTGTGTAGAAGCAAAGAGAAACCATATTTGAAATAGTTATTTTACCTCATAATCTCTTTAATTCATGCATGTAATCAGTGTAAATGTGCGTCTGCTTATTGATGGATCCATTCATACTTTTTTACGGAATGATTGGATTCTCAAGTAATGCAAAATATACTACTCGTTGTGTCCACTTGAAAAATTGTTGAAATATAAATCCTTTCATTTGAGAATTAATTAGTAGTTTATTTACTTGCAATCTATGCATGTGACTTAGTCAATACTGAAGCGAAAGCATTACTTTCCTTATTAATTACTATTGAAACATTCAGCAGGTAATAGAAATTCATCCTTCTAGCAAAAAAGAAAAGATTTTCCATTCCGACAATCCTGAATTCCTAATTAGTTAAAATTCAGTACACAGCCTTTCAAACTCAAAACAAATTCATGCCCAACCACTTATGTAGATCTCTGTATAATATATATTTTATTTTGAAAATAATTTCAGCTAAATCCATTCAAGGTTGAGGATTGAACTTTCAAAACAGTTCTATATTGCAGACAATGTTATCATTGCCCCATAAAAAGAATGACAGCTGCTTTGTTGATTTCAAGTTTCAAGTATAGAACATTACTGATCGGTATCACATGTAAGTTGATTTTGAATTCATATGTAAAAAAATTAATTAGTTAAGAAACACACTACTATCCATACGTAAGCGTTGTATATAACTCAATTGGATAGTGTGACGATTTCTGATAAAAGGAGCATTAGTGTAGATGTTATTACACTTTATTCGATTCTTCAAATCATCAATCGCGCCGATTGCATATACAGCACACATTTAAATACTCAACCATTTTGAGAGAACGAAGGAGAATGAGAGATAAAGAGAACTATCAAGGATAGAAAGATAAAGGTAATAGGTAAGATGAGAAGATGAGAAGAAATGGCACTATAAAGCCAAACATCATATATAGATTACACTCAAACGGAAGCGTTATACCCTCGGATGGAATTCGGACGCCCTACGCATATAATGTAACAAATAGGAGTTAATTCATCTTAATAGCTTCCCTTTTTTTAGTGGCAAGATCAAATTAATAGAAGTATACGGAGCCAAATGAAACACCAAGATAGTCAATTGGTGTCGCCAAGAATTAAACGCTATGCGAACACTAGCTTTTTAGAGCTTCAAGAGATCAATCGGAGTCCAATACATGGCTATGAAGATGTACCTCTTCAAAGTTTAGAGGAAGCTACGGAAAGAATCATTGCATTTGTACCCGGTCTTATGGATAATGTCGCTAAAGCTAAGTTAAACTGCAATAGAGATTCTACCATTTTGACTTTGGACGAATCAGCAGCAATCTATCTTTACACGATGCCAATACCATTGTATTCTACTTTAAACAAAGCTCTTCGAGCTGAAAACAGGGAGGAATTGAAACCTTGGCTTGCCTTCTTGAAATTGTTCATGTATGCTCTGAAAAAACTACCATCCAATAGAACCGTTGTATGGCGCGCCATTTCGGAAAATATTACTTCAACTCTCACCAAAGATAGAGTTCACACATGGTGGAGTGTTAATTCTTGTTCAACAAATCCAAATATTCTAAGTGCCTATTATGGCAGGGAAAATACAATTATTTCAATTCGGACTCTGCATGGCAAAAACATTTCGTCATTGTCAGCATTTCCCATAGAGTGTGAAGTTGTTTTACCGCCAGGAACGTGCATTCGTGTTCAAAGTGATCCACTTATTATCGATGATCAATACTTTATTATTCAGTTAGAAGAAATGGCACAACTCCCACAGGAATCAGCTGAGTAAGTCTATCTTCAAGTTTATATAGAACTTCTACTCGGCGTATTCGAAGTAGTATTCTTTATATGTCGTTTTATATCTTATATCCTGGAAAAAAAAGAATACAAGGTTTTTAATGCGATGCGAAGCAGAAGCATTTATGTAGTCCGTCGCGAGTTTTTTTTATTTTTTTTATTTAATGCGATGCGAAGCAGAAGCATTTATGTAATCCGTCGCGAGTTTTTAATGCGATGCGAAGCAGAAGCAATTATGTAGTCCGTCGTGAGTTTTTTTTTTTTTAATGAGAT